TAAAAACCATAAACAAAAACACAGGACTGTCTAGAGGAAAATAGTGTTCCATTTCAGCAGAATCACAAATCTGGACCAATCTCGGTCCTGGTTGGAGTCCTGGTTCTAGTTCCGATTCTAGTTCTAGTCCTTCTTGGTTCTCGTTTTAGTTCTAGCCCAAGTACTAGTTGGTTCTAGTTCTAGTTCTAGTTGTAGTCTTGGATCTAGTGTTAGTTCTGGTCCCAGTTCGATTCTCCTTTTTAGTCCTGGTAATAGTTGTAGTTCTAGTTGATTCTGTTTTTTCTATGCCTGGTTCAAGTCCTGGTTCTGGTCTTGTTTAGTTCTGGTTCTAGTTTAGTTCTAATCTTGGTTCTTTTTTGTTCTAGTTTTAGGTCTAGCCCTGGTTCTGGTCCCAGTTCTAGTTTTGATTCTAATTGGTTCTAGTTTTAGTTCTAGTCCTGCTTCTAGTCCTGGTTCTAGTCCTGGTTCTAGTCCTGGTTCTAGTCCTGGTTCTAGTCCTGGTTCTAGTCCTGGCTCTAGCCCTGGTTCCAGTTTTAGTTCTAGTCCAGGTTCTGGTATGCCTGGTTCATCAAGTCCTGGTTCTGGTACTAGTTCTGGTTCTAATTCTGGTTCTGGTTCCAGTTGTTTCTAATTGTATTTCTAGTCCTGATTTAATCCTTGTTCTATTACTGGTTTTTGCTCTGGTCCCAATTTTGGTTCAGTCCTGGCTCTAGTCCTGGTTCCAATTTTAGTTCTAGTCCTGGTTCAAGACATGGTTCTAGTTCTGATTCTAGTTCTAGCCCTGGCTCTAGCCCTGGTTCCTGTTTTAGTTCTAGTCCAGGTTCTGGTATGCCTGGTTCAAGTCCTGGTTCTGGTACTAATTCTGGTACTGATCCCAATTGTTTCTAATTGTATTTCTAGTCCTGGTTTAGTCCTCATTCTAGACCTTGTTTTATTACTGGTTATAGCCCTGGTCCCAATTCTGGTTCTAGACCTTGTTCCAGTCTTAGTTCTAGTCCTGGTTCTAGTCCTGGCTCTAGTCCTGGTTCCAGTTTTAGTTCTTCAGTTTTTAGTTCTAGTCCTGGGGCTCTAGTCCTGGTTCCAGTTTTAGTTCTAGTCCTGGTTCTAGTTCTAGTCCTGGTTCTAGTCCTGGTTCTAGTTCTAGTCCTGGTTCTAGTCTAGTCTAGTTCTGGTTCTTCCAGTTTTAGTTCTAGTTCTAGTCCTGGTTCAGTTTAGTTCTAGTCTGGTTCTATCTGGTTCTAGTCCTGGTTCCAGTTTTTAGTTCTAGTCCTGGTTCCAGTTTCAGTTCTAGTCCTAGTTCTAGTCCTGGTTCTAGTCCTGGTTCCAGTTTTAGTTCTAGATCTGGTTCTAGTCCTGGTTCCAGTTTCAGTTCTAGTCCTGGTTGTAGTCCTGGCACTAGTCCTGGTCCCAATTCTGGTCGCAATCCTGGTTCTAGTCCTGGTTCTACTTCTTTAGTTCACGCTTGAGAACCGTCCAGGTCCTGTTCAAGACCAAACACAGACCCGCGGTGTTTTAACGAGCTTAATTTTTCCGAGTTTTGTTTAGTGTTTTCCTTCTTTGAGCACATGAACTCCGGTTTTCCTCCTGCTCCTCCACCGAAAAAAAAACAGCTCCATATTCTTACATTATTCCCTCCCACACACGGAGAAGCCGCGATTCCCCACGGTCCCCGAACGCCTCCTCACTTCTCCGGCCCTTTGTCCCATTGACGCACAAACGACCAACGCGAATCTACGGGATCTTTAAATCTGACACTCGGGTCGATACAGAACCCAGCGCCGGCTCTGTGTGGAACGTCTGGAACGCTGAATATGTGCTTTTATATAGATTTACACAAACAGTACAGCGTGTTCAGAGTGAAAGAGAGAACTCCAGCTACTTTTTATTCAAATACGACACATATTTTCACTCCGACTTGAGTCAAACGTTGTACAGTGTGACAGGAGGTTAACAAAAGTGTGAATATGCCTCTTTTCTGTCAATAAACAAATTATAACGATGTAAAAATGTTTAATAACAGTTGTTTCATCATGTAAATAGACAGTGTTGGGAGTAACATGTTATAAAAGTAGTGAGTTACTGTACTGCGTTGCTTTTGGCTGTAGCGCAGTAATGTGGAATTACAGGGAAAAAAAAAGTAATATGTGTACAAACGTGAGTAAAGCGCGTCACGATGCTTTTTTAACCTGAATCGAAGTGGTGGATTTTTAGTTTTTCTTCATAGAAATTCACTAAAATCACGGCGATATCAGCAGAGGTGAAACGCCATCGTTACGGTTCCGAGTGTCTGGACGGGCCAGAGGTGCGCCCGCGTAGACCGTCAGGTGACCGCGGGCGAAAGGATCGACGCAGAACTTCAACGAGACGAAGAGCAGCCGACGCCCGATCGAACTTTCAGACACTCTGCTCCACTGGCTCGGGGTTCTCTCACGGACGGAACTAGATTCTAAGTCTTAGTCCAAGATTAGTCCTGGTTTAGACCTGGTTTAGACCTGGTTTAGTCCTGGTTTAGTCCTGGTTTAGTCCTGGTTTAGTCCTGGTTTAGACCTGGTTTGGTCCTGGTTTAGTCCTGGTTTAGACCTGGTTTAGTCCTGGTTTTAGTCCTGGTTTAGTCCTGGTTTAGACCTGGTTTTAGTTTTGGTTTAGTCCTGGTTTACTCTGGATTTAGTGCTGGTTTAGTCCTGGTTTAGACCTGGTTTTAGTCCTGGTTTTAGTCGTAGTTTTAGTCCTGATTTTTGTCCTGGTTTATTCTGGATTTAGTGCTGGTTTAGACCTGGTTTAGTCCTGGTTTAGACCTGGTTTTAGTTTTGGTTTAGTCCTGGTTTATTCTGGATTTAGTGCTGGTTTAGTCCTGGTTTAGTCCTTGTTTAGTCCTGGTTTTAGTTCTGGTTTAGTCCTGGTTTTAGTCCTGCTTTAGTCCTGGTTTAGTGCTGGTTTAGTCCTGGTTTAGTCCTGGTTTAGTCCTGGTCGTAAAAAAGCTTCTATCTGTAAGTTTTTTTGATTTTTTAGAAAGAGTGGAGAGCTGACGTGAAGCCTGTCCTCCCCTCGCTCAGAAAGACAAATCGCCGCGGTTTTATCCATCGAAAACAGACGTGCAGAGAGCGGAAACAGAACGACCTTTTTTGGTGTTAAAAAACAGAGAAGATGGATTTTATTTATATAAGTTTGTGTGTCCATTAAAAGTCGGTTTAATGAGGCGGGAGCGTTGTCGCGCCGCTCGGAATCCCACGCGCCATTTACGCTCGGGGAAAACTCACAGTCCGGAGTTTGTTTTTTGTTATGATAAAGATCACGGCGAAACGAGCGCGGCCCCTTCAGAGTTTAATGAGACTGACCCCGACGGCTTCAAATGCTCCGGAATGAGACGCACGGAGACGACGGCGACACTTTCTCCCGGAATTTGAGTTTAAAAAGTTAATAACGGACTTTTTAAGAGAGATTTTTTTATGTATTCACCTAAAAACATGTCTCCCTACAACTCGCACTTATGTAACAGATAATACTCCCTACAACTGTACAACAACTCACCTTTATGTAACAGATAATACTCCCTACAACTGTACAACAACTCACACTTATGTAACAGATAATACTCCCTACAACTGTACAACAACTCACCCTTATGTAACAGATAATACTCCCTACAACTGTACAACAACTCACCTTTATGTAACAGATAATACTCCCTACAACTGTACAACTCACCCTTATGTAACAGATAATACTCCCTACAACTGTACAACTCACCTTATGTAACAGATAATACTCCCTACAACTGTACAACAACTCACCCTTATGTAACAGATAATACTCCCTACAACTGTACAACTCACCCTTATGTAACAGATAATACTCCCTACAACTGTACAACAACTCACCCTTATGTAACAGATAATACTCCCTACAACTGTACAACAACTCACCCTTATGTAACAGATAATACTCCCTACAACTGTACAACAACTCACCCTTATGTAACAGATAATACTCCCTACAACTGTACAACAACTCACCTTATGTAACAGATAATACTCCCTACAACTGTACAACAACTCACCCTTATGTAACAGATAATACTCCCTACAACTGTACAACAACTCACCCTTATGTAACAGATAATACTCCCTACAACTGTACAACAACTCACCCTTATGTAACAGATAATACTCCCTACAACTGTACAACAACTCACCCTTATGTAACAGATAATACTCCCTACAACTGTACAACAACTCACCCTTATGTAACAGATAATACTCCCTACAACTGTACAACAACTCACCCTTATGTAACAGATAATACTCCCTACAACTGTACAACTCACCCTTATGTAACAGATAATACTCCCTACAACTGTACAACAACTCACCCTTATGTAACAGATAATACTCCCTACAACTGTACAACAACTCACCCTTATGTAACAGATAATACTCCCTACAACTGTACAACTCACCCTTATGTAACAGATAATACTTCCTACAACTGTACAACTCACCCTTATGTAACAGCCCCTGAAGAGCGTCTTGGGTGCTGTGGACGAACAGGAAAAAAAGTTTTGCGTGTCCAGGGCGTCGCTGTGGTCGGCAAGTGCCTTGTTTTCTCGGTCAAGAGAGTAACTATAGTGTAAACACATCAGAGGCAAATATATATTGATAATCAGCTAATGACACGGCATAGTTTTCTTGTTCTGGTGTTTGTGGTTGCTCGGTCTTTCTCTTTCTTGTCTTTTTTCCGGGTAATAAAGTTGCTATGTCACTGGAGAGTCATCCCTGATCGGTTGACGCGGTGCATCCAACGACAAATGTTCCACTTTTTCCAACTTCTGGCACTGACACTCTGGACGCCAAAACACTCAAGACGTGTCCCACTGCCATCAGATTCTGACGCCTGAACATGCCCTGCAAAAACGCACGTCCACATAAACCAGGGGCGCACACACTTTTTTTTTTACAAGTCAAAATGATCGACCAACTACAAAGCCAAACAAACTGTGCTGTACTGAAACACTCTGCTCCTCTTTTTTGGACCCTCAACCCACAGTTTGAGAAACTCTTCTTTAAGAGAACTTCCACTGACACTTTACACAAAACTGTGAAGAAAGTGAAGAAAGTTTTAACCCTGTTTTTTCAAGTTCCTAACTGGAGTTGCATTCTCTTACTGTTTTTGCAATGGGATTTATCCTCTGCACATTTAACAAAAGCATGTCGTGACAAATACAGATGCATTTGTGCACTTTTATTAGGCAAACTTCATCTACGTCTTGGTAGGTCTGCTCTGTGCTGCAGGCTTTGCTTTGTGCCAATACTGTAACGTAAACTTAGATTAGCTTTTGCTTTGCGTTTTGTCCTGCTCTTCTAGTCAGCGCTCCTATGTGGAGCCTGTGTGCGCTTTACGCAGGGAGGAGCAAGACAAGTGCAGGGACCAAGTGTGTTTGTGATGTGCCACGCCATATCCATGGATTCTAAATGAGCGCACAGGCTGCACAGAGACGCCCCGCACTCTCCCACACACCTGTACAAGTTTACTGTCGACAGCAGCGGTCGTAATGAAATATGATCACACTTGTTGATCAGACCTTGAGTGGGAGACAAGACCGAGTTCAAACGTGATCAAGTCTGAGACAAGTACAACGAGACTATCCATCCACACTAAATTGGCGATCAGCATGTTGGACACCCCTGACATAGAGATTACATGTAAACTTGACGCCTTGATGCCGCAGTCTGAATGCAGATTAAGTCTTGTCCAAGTCTACCCAGGCCCAGCTGTGTTTAGAGGTTTTGGCTCTGAATATCTTCAGTTTTTTTAAAACGATCAGAAACTCACCTAAATCTGCGGTGCTCTGTCTGTGGGAGTAAACGTCGGCCATTATGGTGTGTAGATTCTCCAGGATGTGCTCTGAGGGCATGTCCAGCTGCAGGATCACACACACACACAGAAAGAGTGAGTAAAAATGATAACATAAGACGGAGGGTGTCGGTGGTTTTCAGGTTCTAGAATGCAATGATGTCAAACTGCCAGAAGAGGGCGCAAGACACAGATTTCCCAATTGATCACACTGTACTTTACCACGAAATATCCAAAGGGTAAATCCACAAATGTTGAACCTGGTATCTTCAATTTGTGACTAAACCCAAGAACTCACCATATGACAACATAATTTAGAATTTTAGCTTTTTTATTTTCGCTGCTCCCATCTGTGTTAGTTTGTGTAGTTTGACAATTTCGATTATTCCAATGACAAGATTTTCTCCAGTGCACCTGTCACATTTGAGGCTCAAGTGTCACACAAAAACAGAATGCACCATAAAGAAATATTAGTACCATAACCAGATTATACTACAAGTTTTGTTTTTTTCCCCCCATTCTTTAATCAGATGTTTTAGCTTTCTAATATGGACCTAAAATTATCAAGAATTCTGCCTTTATAGTTAGCCACATTGATGCCTGTTTTTTGTTTTTCTAAGTATTTTTGAGCTATAAAACCACCGGTAACTGAATAAACGTAAGGCAGAGCTGTTTGATGCCTCTACCAGAAAATATACACCATGCACCTTTAAACACAGGGACAGGAAAATAAGCAGATTATACTCTCAAAAAAAAAACAACATATACATTGTCCCAGAATTGTTAATGACTTCTGAAAATGTGACTTACCGTAGCGATTTGTGTCCGAACAAAGCAGCCATCTTCTACTGTATACTCATGTCCTGTTTTAAAGAGCTCCAGCATTCTGGTAATGTTCAAACCGACCGAACCTACGAGAAACACAGGGAAAAAAACGGGTCTGAAAATGTGCAAAAAGCAAATTATATAAAACTATAACTATATACTTCACTCTGCCTCCTCTGTACGATATCCAGAGTTGGGAAGGTGATTTTTAAAATGTAATCCCCTACAGATTACAGATTACATACACCAAAATGTAGTTTGTAACGTAATCCATTAAATTACTTAAAGTGAGTAATGTAATCTGAATACTTTGGATTACTTGATATTGTTTTGCTTTTTAAAACTACATGAATGTAACAACCACATCCTGAAAATTCATGTTTGTTTTCTTCAAATTGTCTGTTGAGCCCAAATCTCCATGAACAGACTTTTGTTTTACTGTAGAGAAGAAAAGACGAAGATCTGAACATGAGAAGTTTTGTTTCATCTGCTTAAAGAAAAATAAAAGCCCAGACTTTCCTTAACCAGATTAAAAATATTATTTATAGAGAAATGGATTTTATATGAGACACTGCTGCTTTAAATTATGTCCATCTACTGTTAGTGTCATATTGTTTAGTCCTGGTTTAGTCCTGGTTTTAGTCCTGGTTTAGCCCAAAATGTGAAAACAGTAAAATACCTCTGTGTAATCCATTTATTTCAACAAAGTAACTGTAATCCAATTACCACTCACTGAAACAGTAACTGTAACTGAATACAGTTACTCATCATTTGTACTCTGATTATGTAACTCCAGCACATGTAATCTGTTACTCCCCAACACTGACGATATCTACCATACCATACCTCTATTTAAGAGGTATGATATGGTAGATATTTAAGTTTTTTTCATGTTGTGTCTGGTTTTACCTCTTTTGCTTTTGGGAAACTTCTTTCTGAGTTTGTTTTTGAGCGGCACCAGTTTGGGCAGCATGTCGGGCACAGCAACGTAAAAATCTGCTGAAATTTCATCGTCTAAAATCTGAAAAAAAGACACAAGTTTTTTCAAATATAAATTAAATATTACTTTTATTTTTGTAGTATTTTTATGTTTTTAGCTTGACTCACTTTTTCCATCAATTCTGTTCCTCCGACGATCGCGGCTCCGTTCTCTTGAGCCACTCTGGCCTGATCTGCGTCCTGAAGAAACAAAACAAAAACTGTGAGGAGGAGCCGGAGTCACAGAACTCGAAACCTTATGGTCGTGGTCTCGTCTCGGATTTTAGCACATTTGGACTTTGTTTTGTACTCGGTCTTGTCTCGGTTTTTAAGGCGCTTGGACTCAGTCTTGTCTCGGTCTTGTCTCGGTCTTGTCTCGGTCTTTAAGGCGCTTGGACTCGGTCTTGTCTCAGTCTTTAAGGCGCTTGGACTCGGTCTTGTCTCAGTCTTGAAGGCGCTTGGACTCGGTCTTGTCTCGGTCTTGAAGGCGCTTGACTCGGTCTTGTCTCGGTCTTGAAGGCGCTTGGACTCGGTCTTGTCTTGGACTCGTCTTGTCTCTCGGTCTTGTCTGGTCTTGTCTCGGTCTTGTCTCGGTCTTGTCTCGGTCCTGAAGGCGCTTGGACTCGGTCTTGTCTCAGACTAAAGCGTATTTGGACTTGGTCTTGTCTTGGTCTTGTCTCGGTCTTGTCTCGGTCTTGAAGTCTCTTCTCGGTCTTGTCTTGAGCTCGGGGTCTGATACTTGTCGAGTGCGATCATATTTCATTACGGCCTGTGTGCTCGTCTGGAGCCTGTGGACACTGTGTGGCACAGCATGTACCAGCGTGTATCACAGGGAGGGTTAAACTTCTTCAAACCGCCAACCTGTTCATCTGGCTCACATCAGCGTGTCGCTCCTCACCTTTTCACGCTCTCGCTGTTCCCCGCGTACAGCGCACATCGGCTCCCTCATCAATGTGCGCTGATTGGAACGGCAAGACGAAACTAAAAACTAATCTAAATTTATGCTATGTGTGTCGGTGTGATGGAAATTTATATTGTGGAAAGATTTCTCTCAATCTGTCTTTTTGTAAATGAATGTGATTTATACCTAAGACCAGACCAGACATTAACACGTGTAAAGACTCAACAAACACAACTGTCCCACCCAACAAGAAACTCTTTGTTGTCGTACCTGTCCTCAAATGTGTGTTAAGTTGATTAGCATCAGCCTCTGAAACAAGAGTCACTTTGCTGTGTAACTTATATTTCTGTATAAATACTCAGAGCTCAGATGCTCTGGGGGGGCAGAGACTCTGGGCAGAGACCGGGGGCTGACGTTGGAGGGACAAACTGCTGGGGAAGAGAGGCCGTTAGTCTGTGGTCAGGGCAGGTCTAGGCTCTGTCCATATCTGCTGTAACAAGAATAAACTTTTGTCTGTATTCCAAAAACTCATCTGGATTCACAAATGGATTAATTATTTATCATCAAGAGATATATAATTTTTGCCACAACAGTCGGCACAGCAAATCTACATGTGACTGAAGTTTGTCTAATAAAAGTGCCCATCTCCTCCATGGAGACAGAATTTATTTCCATACAGTGGAACATTTTGAGTGTTTAATCGATTCAAAACCAACAGTTGAATGAGACGTACCTCTGTGAAAACTAAAACTTTGTTCATCTCCGTCTTGAATGGATGAGGTAAGTGCACTGTGCTCACGAACGGGTCCACTCTTTTCTGTCAAACCAAGAAAAACACTGTTAAAATGTTTTTGTTTTTTTCATTTGCACTATAAATTTGTTCACTTATTATTCAACAAATGTGAACTCTGAGTCAAACATGTAGAGTTAGTTAAGGAAGTAATGATATCCAAGTCTCACGATACGATATCGTCACGGTATGATCCTCAATAGAGCCTGACCGATATGGATTTTGTTGTGGCCAATATGAAACCGATATAATGGGAGTTGGAGCTGCCGATATAATCACCAATATATTTCGTGATGTAAAAATTCACTGTAAATCTTGAATTGTTTAAAAAACTTAGGTTTGTCTCTGGTGGGTTTTAAATTGGGTTTATTTAGGAAACATTTATTGTTATTCTGCCTCTTTACGTCAGATTTACAGACAGTAGATTGGACTAATGGCATTTTTGCATCACATTCTAGACACTAGTGATGGGGATTCCAGTTCAGTTTTGTTGCAAGCAGGTCTAAAGCAGGACTGAACCAGGACTGAATCAGGTCTAAAGCAGGACTGAAAAAGGACTAAACCAGGACTAAAACAGATGTAAACCATGTGTAAAACAGAACTAAACCAGAACTGAACTAGGACTGAGTGTCGGGACTCGGTCTCTCTCTCTCTGTCTCTCGAACCCAAGATTAGTCCTGGTTTATTTATTTTATGCTGAACTGCAGCCAAATATGCAAGTTTTTTCTATCCTATGCACACGCAGATTTCTGAAAGTTTCGTTTTGAGTCGCTGCCGCTGTCAAACTCCCATGAGTCTGTACGCGGCGTGAAGAGAAAAAAGTGAGAGAAAGAGAAAACACGGCTCTCAATAAGGATCAGGCTCCTGTCGTTCGCTTCAAAGAGCCGGATGTAAGAGCCGCTTCGTTCACGATCGACCGTCACTACTAGCTAATAAAGAAACTAGCGCTATTAGCCTTTAGCCGTAAATGCTGAGCGCCGCGGTAATTAATTATATGCGCAAATGTCATAATTCACACGTCTATTCACAGCTCATTTACATCAATGCAGGTTCAGTAACAAATATACGAACAATATAATCACTTTACAATAGGCCAATAGAAAACAGCCTGTTTATGTGCAGGAGACACAGCAGCTAACAGCTAATCACAAATAGCCAAAACTAGCTTCAAAGTCGACATATTTCAACACTCAGCCTCACACAGGCTCCTCCCACATCACAAGTCTGAACTAATAAATGTCCTTTTAATCCAGACTCAAACCGATTGTCCATAAAAAGAAAATAATCTCAATGTTTGGGTCTGTGTCTGCGAGTGTAAACAAACACACATGACTCTGTGGTGTGTTCAGGGACAGCACACACACACACACACACACACACACAGACAAATGACTCCACAGATAAATACTGATGTGGAGAGTCTAAGATTTATAACGACGTATCACATGACCACGTGAAATATCAGCCGCTATCAGCAAACATATCGGCCGATAGCCTATATGTCTCCATGTGTCCATATCGGCCGATAATATTGGCCATCCGATATATCGGTCGGGCTCTAATCCTCACGGTACGATATTTATTGCGATATCGTGGGAAAGGTCACAATATGATGGGGAGGCTTACGATTAGGGATGTAACAATATCCAAATCTCTCTGTACGATATTTTCATGATATGATGATAGTGCTGCCTCTCTCCCTCGTGATAGATCGGTTTAATCTGCACTGTGGAACATTCTAGAGAAAGCAGTAACATTTCCATGGAGACAAACAGGTGGGGGACCGTCTACTAGAAATGTTATGCAGTGCATCTTTAATGAAGACCCAACAGCAGCTTGAGTCATGACGTTACCTTCTTCTCCAGCTTCATGTCCAGCCTCAGGTCGATGTAAACCTGCTGCCGTTCGGGGGTGAAGTCCAGGGCTCTGTAGGTCTTCAGCAGCTCCACGGCGTCGTCCACGCGGTGAACTGGCCGGGGGTAGTACCTCAGGATGTACACGTCGTCCACCGGGGCCCAGGCCGTTTTCCCGTACGGTTTGTGACGTCCGGAGTCATCGATCACCTGCCGCTTCTTCTCCTCCTTCTTCTCCTCCTCTTTCTTATCCTTCGTCTTTGTTCTGACGGAAAAACAAACAGAGAATTAGAGCCATGAAGGAAAGAAGACTGAAAATATTTGTGCTCTTTACTCTGAAATTATGGTTAGGGACAAATATTTCAACACCCAGATACTTTTATAGAGACCCATTACAGAAGTTGTGACCTGGTTTAAGGCCTCAGACACGTCCAACCATTTGAGACAATATTGCAACTGAAGTGTCAATGCTTCACGAGGCTCCATTCACTAAAAATAACTCTTTTCACAATGTATCTTCTGCACATAAACAAGCACAATTTGGGTTTTGGAACATCCATGACACAATAGTTCTGAAATCTTACTGATTTCTTGGAGGCGTCACAGACCAGGAACTATGAAAGTCCGACTATTGCTCCTCCCCCCGCCCGTCCTGAGAAAGCACAGGCTCTGCCCTCCAAATGTGGCGTAGGCGATGAGTGAGTGTTTTTTTTAAACGAATTGCAGCGTATTTCTGCCAGTCCAGTTCTGGTTTAGTCCTCCTCTTCAGTCCTGGAATCAGTCCTAGGTTAGTCCTGGGTTAGTCCTGGTTTAGTCTTGGTTCAGTCCATGACGTAGGCAGTGCAAAAGTTTGATATAATCTCGGGTTAACAGGCAGGTGCAGTGTTGTACTGTGCGTGTGCGGGTCTCCAAAAATGGACCCCTGCGGGACTCTGCGCTGTAGGCTCCATTACGGAATAAATGAATCTTCAGTTCGTTACATAATGAAGGAGGAAAATAACAAAAGGACGACAGCAGCAACAAGTTTTAAGAAGGATGTAAAAAGTGTTGTAAGTGTCATGTCTGAGAAAAAGTGTCTAAAGTTTGTGCTGAGGGGTTTTACAGACTTAAAACAGATATAATCATTGTGAAATATAAAGTTCACTACTTCACAGATTTCACCTGTCGCGGGTTATTTTTAGAACTTGACCCCCGCGATAAAGGAGGGACACTGCACTCTCACTTCACAACCTGTGCACATGGACTCACACTTGTACCATCTGGGATGGAAAACGGAGAATTTCTTGTACAAGTCATTGTTAAATGTGCATTTGCGTTTTGGAATGTTGCAGACTGACCGACTGTTTGTGTCTCGCTCCTTCTGAGTCACAGACGCTACGAGAGACGCTCAGTTTAATGCCCCCAATGAACGGTACTGAAAACCCGGACATTTGCATCACTTTAAAAAAAAAAAAACCAGACGCCCATGACGGGACACAAAATACAGACATGTCCAGGAAAAAACGGACGTTTGGTCACCCTAACTTTACCGATCAGTAATGTTCAGCTGATGTGGACGCGGAGCTTAAGCTTCATGCACCTCCAAGTCCTCGTCCGATTCCGGGTCCAACACATGCGGCTGAATGCGCTGTATCTCCATGATGAATAAAAGTTTATTCCTGACACTATCAGGGTCACGCTTGTTTCCCCCTCCCTCCCTGAGATGAGCGGAGGAAGGGCGGCTCACTCGTCGCCTACGTCATGTTTGGAGGGCGGAGCCTGTGCTTTCTCAGGACGGGCGGGGGGATGAGCAAAAGTCAGCGAGCTTACGCACTGTGTTTGACGCTACCGTGTTTCTCGCCTCCGACCAAAATATTTCCCAGCATGCAACGCGGGCTTTTAATAACAATGACGTCAGCTGAAACTCACGTATCAGCTGTTGTTACTTCCTGTAGGCGTGGTCAGACTTGATGGACCTGGCAGGTCACCGAGGAGGAGGGTGTCCCAGGTGTGTGAAAAGAGGAACGCGCCGTCATTCACGGTTAATGCTGCCCGTGCCTCGTTTCCTGATTTTTTTTTTACCACGATGGGAGGAAGTAACAACAGCTGATATACGACACGTCACCACCAACACCAGGGACAGATCTGAAGATACAGCAGCAGCCAAAACATGTCAACAAAGTAAATACACTTTACTGCATTGTCTTTAAAAGGAACCCAAGAAGTTAAAGTCGGACTTTCATAGTTCCTGGTCTGTGACTGTCTCCAAGAAACCAGTAAGATTTCAGAACTATTGTGTCTAGGGCTGGGTATCATTAAGAAGTTGCCGATACGATACATACCTTGATACATAGGCCATGATACGATACATATTTCGATACAGTGAACTTACAATTCAATACGATATATTTCAAATTGATTCAATAGTGTTCAGTAAAAATAAAGGCTAAATCATGGCTGTGATATTAAAAGTCTTTGTTAAATCACTTCTTGCGTAAAGTTCATATGAAACAAAAACCTTTTAATCCTCAAAACTGTGAAAATGTCAAATGTGTCACATGCGCTGCAAAAAATTGTATCTAGCCAACCTAAGATGACTTGAATTAAGAAAGTTTTATCATGATTTGAGTAAATTCCACTTGACAAGTTAAATGATCTGTCAGCGGAACACGATTTGTTGTTCTTAAAATATGAAAATACAACTTGCTACACTTAAAAAAAGAAAAACAACAACCCTTAAAATAAGAAATGAAACTGAATGTCACTTGAATTTAGAAAAACACTTATTCCACTGGTAGAGTCGACTCAGATAAAGTCAAATGTTCTTAATTTTCATTTTGCAGTGTGAATGAGTTTCCTTCCACTAAACAAGCAACAAAACTGTAGCTGTAACAAAATAATTTTGTAAAATACACCAAAAATACTCGATACGCGATATATATCGATACAGCAGCCCATGATATCGATACTGTATCATTACATTAAACAATACGATATATATCGATATTTCAATATTTTTGCACAGCCCTAATTGTGTCATGGATGTTCAAAAACCCAACTTGTGCTTGTTTATGTGCAGAAGACACAATGTGAAAAGAGTTATTTTACATGCGATGGGCCCTTTAAGTTTTGTTCTTTCTTCTCTTGATCGTTGTGGATAAATTGTTCATGTTAGAATGTTTGTCCTTTGTGGAGTTTGTTGGTTGAAGATTTGGCGATGGGGCAGATTTGTGAAGCTGCTGGAGAATACAACACACATTTACACACACACATTTACACACACATTTACACACACATTTTGCCGCAGAAAAGTCAACAAAATGTAACTCACCGGGCCACAGCAAAAGTTCTCCCGGGGATGGAGAAGACCGGAGTCTGGGGTAAAACATTGACGGGACGGACAGAAGACAACCGCTGACATCCGGAGACAACTGAGGGAAAAAACAAAAAATATCTGTGTTTGATTGGTCTTTATGTCACAAACGTTAGAAATAGACGTCGCTGTTATATTCGTGTTATGTTCGTGTTATGTTCGGTTATGTTCGGGTTATGTTCGGGTTATATTGTTATAATCCGTGTGTCGTTCATTCATTTGTTTTTTGATATAAAAGCAAAAATAAAAAAACGAAAAAACAACAGTTTTCTTCATTATTTGTCTCCAAAACCAAAATGAAAAAACAGATAATGATTCGTTTTTTTAGTTTTTGATTTTGTGTTTAAGTGAAAAATGGAAAAAAAAAAAAAAAAAAAACGGATAACTGACTGAACCAGGACTGATCCGGGTCCAGGACCAGACCGGGACCAGACCGAGACTGAAACCGGGACCAGACCGGGACCAGACTGAGACCGGGACTGAGACTGGGACCGAGACCAGACCGGGACCAGACCAGGACCAGACTGAGACCAGGACCAGACTGAGACCAGGACCCAGCTCGGACCTGAGGCTCGGACCCGCGGTTCGGAGTCAAAGCTCTGGTCCCGGATCAGAAAACTGAAAAAACGAATCATTATCCGTTTTTTTTCATTTTGGTTTTGGAGACAAATAATGAAGAAAACTGTTTTTTTTTTTTCATTTTCTTATTTTTGGTTTTATATTGAAAAACGCTCTGATGTTTCCGTGACGCGACCGGAGATAAACATGAGCGAAACGAGCCACAACAATGAGCGAATTATGTTTTCGTGAATTTAAATGAACAAATACCCGTGTGCTTAAACGCTGTCAAAGTTTGATCCTAAAACAATAAACAGAAAATAAGAATAATTTAGATGAAAGTCCTGACCTCTCCACACCGCTCTGCTGCAGGTGGCCATGTTTTGGGTAACAGTGTTTGTCCGTGTAGGAACAACGGGTCGTGGTCAAACGTTCCGACTTCTACGTCTATACAGTTATTTATTATTTAATAGTATTTATTTATTAATATTTATTTATTAGTATTTTTTATTTGTATGTATTTATTAGTATTTATTTATTAGTATTTTATTTATTTGTATTTATTTATTATTAGTAGTATTTTTTATTTGTATTTATTAATTAGTAATAACATATTTAACAATTTTATCTACACTATAGACCCTTTTAAATATTATGGCATGATCATGTAAAAAATTCTGGAATGTTTAAAATTTCTGGGGAAAAAAAGGCAAGTGGAGGCAAAATGAAGCTAACACATAATATATTTACAGTGATGAGGAGATGTAAATACTAATGGTTTTATGACATTATAACAAAAAATAAGTGACAATTTTGAATTTTCAAGGTACAAATGTTATTTACTTTGCTTCTCTGTTAAGAAGGATGGGAAAAAATACAGTTTTTAAACCCTAAAACAGTATTTGGGCTTCACAAAAAGGATGAAAAATATGTAATATATCTGTAGATGAAGTGAAAAACTGTTGTGGTCTCAACATTTCAAAACCTCAAAATGTGGATTTTGCCTTTGTAAAAATGGTTAGTGTCAATGATAATCTCTTGTCAAACAAACAAATCATGCAAAACACAGTTGTAAATGTTTTTAAACTGGGCTCTGATTTCATTCACATGTACCTGAGCGGTTTTCATTTTACAAATTATCCTTGATTTTTCATAATTTGGTCTTTGAAGTCCCAAAGAAATGACTTTTGCCAGATCTCAGAAACTACCGTATTTTTCGGACTATGAGTCACTCTGGAGTATAAGTCACACCAGGTAAAAAAAATGTGTAATGAAGAAGAAAAAACATATAAGTTGCACTTTTTGGGGGAAATGTATTTTATAAAATCAGAGACGAGGAGCCGACATTTCCTGTGTAAAGTCAAACTGTATTATAAACAATAAAAGAGAGAACAACAGACTGTTAACGTCACATATTTCACAGTTCTTCAGATAAACTATAAAATCATGCACCTTCTACTTGTTTGCAGAATTTTCCCTCCGTTACTTTTCCCTCCATTACCATGACCTTTCTTAATAAAAAATCTCACGAGTCAAAAAGTAAGAGGTTTTTCAACCTAATCTTGTACCATATGGTAGAAAACTATATGAAGCAAATATTCAAACCAGTTTGTTAAGGATATGTAAGTGAGAACCAAGAGTTATCACTGTTTGTATTGCCCAAAAAGTGCTGCATATTTCATTCCCTCCGTTACCGACATGAGTTTTTAAATTTTTTGTCAACAACTTGAAAGAATATCACAGGTTTAACTTTACCCTGTTGGAGTGTTAACTCTTTCCTACATTCTGATACTTTACTTATTTCAATAGTCCCTCTAGTTTCTGAATAAGAGACATTTGAATGTCAAAAATCTGACCCTGTTTCCCTCCGTTACCACTTGACCGGACCCATATAAGTCACACTGGAGTATAAGTCATAAGAAACACCCAAACCATGACAAAAGTGCAACTTATAGTCCAAAAAATACAGTAATGATGGAGACTGGAAACTGGTACCTAAACTAAACTAACTAAACTAAACTTCAGACCCTGTACACAGCAATAGAATTTCATGAAATTTCTCATGGACGTTTACTTTAGCAAGTGTAAAAAAATTGATACTTGGTACAGATTGATTTTCAAAAAATTTTCAAAAAGTTAGGCAAATGATGCAGCCTAATGACCACACTAAGTTTCATGAAATATCAAACTATTTCACGGTTTTTGACGCTACAGAGATAAATTTTCTTTCCCATATTGCTTGAAAATGGTCTCTTAAATTGTCCTTTGACCTTAAATTTTCCTTTAATTGAACTTACCTAGAAAACTAAACAAACAGCCTGAGACACAAAACCATCCATAAGTTTCACTGGAAAATAAAACATTTAACTTTTAGGACACAATTTGCAAGATCATCTGGAACGCTGCAAATGTTTCAACATGTAAAATCTCACTAAAACATTTGTGAAGAAGAAAATCACATTCTATTGTCTAAAATAAAGTGTTTTTATTGCTGTATCAGAATCAGTATCAAGTCAATTCCTTAATATCAAAAAGGAAAAAGCTCACAAAAACAAAACAAACACACACGCGCTGCTTTTAATGACAACATTTATTTTCTCCAAAAGTCTGTAATACTGTAATAATTGTACAAAGACTGCATGTCATTTAGAAACAAAACATCCCCGAGTTTGATAAAAACAACCCAAAAAATGATCTGAGAATGAGCCGCTTTAAAACACCAAAGATCCAGGATGTGGACGTCTCGCTCCCGCCACCACAGTTTTAAAGCTGCACTGTGTAACTTTTCTATTGGAGAGATAGAAGTCTGACACGTTTCGCAAAATGGCATCAAGTTTCGTGTTTTTCTAGGTGTTTTTGAATGATAAAACCACTTGTTATTAAATAAAATAGAGCTGTTTAATGCCTTACTGTGGAATATTCCAGGCAGAGCATTGGCATATCCAAACTAGACCAAGTTACAGGTCAGTTCTGCGGAGAGGCGACCCCGCTCACAGTCAAAATCCATGTTTTTGTAGGTATTTTTGAGCTATAAAACCATATAACCATATATAATTGAATAAATTAATGTAAGATAGACTTGTTTAATGCCATATTGTGGAATATTCCAAGAAGAGCAGGGACATATCCAAAGTACAGGTCAGATCTGTGGAGAGGTGACCCCGCCCACAGTCAGAATCTGTGTTTTTAAAGTATTTCTGAACTCTAAAACCACCCGTAATTGAATAAATTAATATAAGATTGAGCTGTTTAATGCCATATTGCGGAACATTCCAGGCAGAGCAGTGGCATATCCAAACTAGACCCAGTTACAGGCCAGCTCTGCGGAGAGGCGACGCCGCTTACAGTCAAAATCCGTGTTTTTAGTATTTTTGAGCGATAAAACCACCCGTAATTGAATAAATGTAAAGTAGAGCTGTTTTAACGTCAACACTGTGGACCCCCCAGTCGTAAAATTACGCAGTGCAGCTTTAAACGTACAAGTGTTGTCAAGATACAAACCCCCGTCTGTGAGAGGAGTGAAGTAGATGCAGGTTTATGTGTGAGGTTATGTGCAAATCAAGGCAATCACACTAAAGCTGGCGGTATAATAAAGCTATCGTCTTAAATTAAGGCAAAGCGTCTCGTACATTTTTGTTTTTTGATGATTGTTTCAAATGCAGTACTTTTTGATTGGGTATTTTCTGGTTTGGAGGACCGTACAGGACTACTACTACTACTACTACTTCTACTACTAAATTCCTTCTCAGAGTCACGCTTGCATAGAGTTTTGTCCTGCTTTAGACACTTTCATTTAGCATAGACACACATTTAAACCCACGTTCGTCTTTTGTTTTGCCCCATTTTTATAAACTAAAAACTAAAAACTAGGGATGTAACGATATCCAAATCTCTCGATACGATATTTATTGCAAAAAATAAAAATAATACAACATTTTTAGTACGCCGCTTTTCTCTCGTCGTCCAAAAATCCCCAAAAATGACGACTTTAAAGTGCTTCATAACAGTTAGAAGAGACTAAAACGGAGCAAAGCATCATGGTTTATGTAGTTCTCACTGTTTTTTAGCTGCTGCTGCTCCAAAACAATGAATTTAAACGAAGAGACTTGAGATTCGATATTACTGTGAGACTTTTGCCGATATGATATCATGATATTTTGATTATTGTTACATCCCTGCTAAAAACTGATCTGGATAAACGAGCTTTGGGTTTCATTTGAAAGGTGCGCAGTGACGTGTAACTTTTTCCGTTGGAGGTTGCGTCAAATGTTTTTCTCGCTTTTCTATGTTATTGCTTCGTCTAAAATGTTCCGCAGTTGGGTATTAAACTTTTTGTCTTCACGGAGACCAAACCAGACCAAGTTACAGGTCAGATCTGTGGAGAGAATGTCTGTTTTCTATATAGAGGGTGTCCCAAAGAAGAAAATCGTTGCTTTTCCGTTTTCTTATTTTTGGTTTTATTTAGAAAATCGAATGAATGAATGATGCACAGATTTCGGTTCCTATTTAAATTTTTATATTTTATTCTCTCTGGTTTATATGAAGTTCTGCTGCTGCGTCAACCATGGATCTATAATAGAAATATTTTTATTGTAGTTCTACGGTGTCAAGTGAACGAAGTTTATCGCCGCGACTTTCTAGGACGCGAAAGTAAACGAGGTGTTTAAAAAAATTGCAACAATTTTACAGTTAAGAATGAAGATTTAAAAAATAGGCACCAAGACTGTTTTTTGATTGGTCTTAGCTGAAATAAACTTTAAATTAAATATTGGAAATAGACGGCGAGGTCTATTTTATTTTATTTTTTTTACACTAAAGCAGAAAAATGGAATAACAAACGTATTTGCCATTTTATTGTTTTTCGTTCTTAACAGAAATTCAAAAGAACGAACGGTGCACGGACCTTTAAATATAAAATCTTGATCTGTTTCTTTACATTCTGAGAAAATCTGAGGTTTTTTCAACAATAACTGACAAAATTACAGGCGAAATAAGTCAAATTTTTTTGGACTCCCTAAATTTTTTAATTACCATATTTCCCGCACTATAGGGCGCACATAAAAGCCTTTAATTTCATCAAAAAACAATTGCGCGCTTTATAATCCAGAGCTCCTTATATATGAATTTATTGGGGTGTCTTAGTACGACTTTAGTAAAGTACAAAGCCGCACCACTTGCAGCATTACGACTCCCGTAGTCAGGAAGCATCAGGAGTAAAACACACCGTGATTCCTTTTAATATCAAAATGCACCTGTCAAGAGACACGCTCACAATGCCCACTTTAAACTCAAGACTCTTCTAAAGTGACAGTGTGTTTAGCTGCGTGGGAGCAGTGGGTGAGAGAAGGAGAACACACATTCACCAAGACAGAGAGACAGCGCCGAGCCACTTACGCCACAATCTGCCAACGGATCGTGGACGCCCGGGCTAAGGATCAGTATCAACTGTGGTCCGAGCTTTCACCAAGACCAGAATCATCACTGAACTGAACTCCAGGGAACAGTAACCACACTGACTCAGATCATGACAGAGGGATGCGGGCGTATGACTTATTGTGAATACTCCAACAATTTAGCATCTCAGACAGTACTTTTTTACATGTTACAATTGAACAAAGTTGACAGTTATTGTGAACGTGTTAAATAAAGTTTGACTGACTTATCTAACTGTTGTGTTTCGTTTAATGCGCCTTACAGTCCGGTGCAGTTTAAATGTGAAAAAAGTTCAAAAATAGAAAAATGACAGCGTGTCTTATAATCCAGAGCACCCTATAGTGCAGAAAATACGGTAGATATAAAATCTTGATCCGTTTCTGTACATTCTGTGAAAATTTGAGGTTATTTCAACAAGAACTGCCAAAATTACTGTCAAAAAATGTTAAATTTTTTTGGGACACCCTGTATTTCTGAGCTATAAAACCTCCTGTAACTGAATAAATGTAAGATGTAAATAAATGTTTAATGTCACACTGTGGAACATTCCGGGAAGAGCAACGACACACCTGTAGTAAAAAACAAAAAGTTACACAGCGCACCAGTTAATTTCCATGTTCCGTTGAGTTCATCGTGTTTCAGGACGACTTTCTTTTCGTTCTAGTGTCATAAATAGTTTGGTTTCGTTAAAAAAGTGCATAGTGAAATGGTGCATGGCTGATTGCATTAAAATAAAGGACTGTGCATCATGTTCGTGGTTTACAGACGGACACACGAGTTTGGACGGACGGACCAGGGAGAGGGGGACGAGAACACAGAGAGAACATGCAAACTCCACTCTGAAAGATCAGGAGTCTAACCCACAACCTCCTCACGTCAAAATATTCAATCTGACGCAAAGACGTGAGGAATTTAAAGGTCTTATATCACACAAAACCGACTCTCCAGAGAGTTTTGTGTGCCGTAAAAACTCTGTTACCTCGTCAAAAACAAACCTGGAGTTGTATTTTGTTTTTGTTTTATTTTTTATTGCTACTTATTGAGAAATTTAGTACAATTTTTTTATATTTTTTACTACTTGTTATTGTAATATAATGTGAAGTTTGAGCTACCGTGTTCAAATAATTTCCCTTGTGGATCAATAAAGTTTGTCGAAGTTTAAGTCCAAAGGCCCAGAACCAGGACTAAACCAAAACTACACCAGGACTAAAACCAGGACTAAAACCAGGACTAAAACCAGGACTAAACCAGGACTAAACCAGGACTAAACCAGGGCCAAGTTGAAGAGAACAAATTTTCATGAATTTTCAGGATGTGGTTGGTACATTCCTGTAGTTTTAAAAAACAAGACAATATCAAGTAATCCAAAGTATTCAGATTACATTACTCACTTTAAAGTAATTTAATGGATTATGTTACAAACTACATTTTGGGATATGTAATCTGTAATCTGTAGGGAAATACATTTTAAAAGTAAACTTCCCAACTCTGCCTTTAGTTCTATAGAAATCGGCAATTCCAGCGCTGAAATCATCTACTATCAACAAAAAATTATCTATGATCGACATAAAAACACAACTCCAGGTCTGTTTGCGACGAGGAAACGACGTCAGAACATAAATCATAAAATAATCTGGACCCTTTAATCCTTGAATTATTTATAAATCTCAGGCATTTATCGGCGGCTTTAGGCATTCGTGGCTTCAGGCTTAATTGGCGGAACAACATCGTAAGAACGTTTTAATTTCGTACCAATTCAGAGACGATTTTTAAGGCAGGATGTCGCTTCGTCGTAAACAAATTTGTAAACATCGTAAACAGCGTAAATTAATTCGAATAAAAACAGTGAGCCGGGTCGACATTTGTGGATAAAATGGATCCTGCCCCTTGATCTTTTATAATATTCAGTTTATTTACTTCCATAACTTGGCGTAAACGTAAAGCTGCACTGTGTAACTTTTCGGTTTAGAGTCCGTCACCTGCTTGTTTCCATGGATATGTCGCTGCTCGGTTTGAAATGTTCCACAGTATGACTTTAAAGTGCGTATGAGTCTTCAATTTTGATTTCATTTGTTGGTATTATAGCTGTAAATTATAAATATAAATTGTAGTTTTGAGCAAATCAAGAAGAAATTTGTGAAGAAAAGTTGAAAAATTTGTTGAAAAATTGACAATATCACACTGGAGAATTCTCTCCTAAAGTTTTCGATGTTTTACTCTTAAGAGTTACTTTTTTTTTGTCATATATATATATTATTTTGTTTTTGTTTTTCAGAATGGTACCAAGACTAAACCAGGACTAAACCAGGACTGAACCAGGACTGAACCAAGACTAAACCAGGACTGAACCAAAACTGAACCAGGACTAAACTAGGTCTAAACCAGGACTAAACCAAAACTGAACCAGGACTAAACTAGGTCTAAACCAGGACTGACCCAGGACTAAACCAGGACTAAACCAGGACTAAACCAAAACTGAACCAGGACTAAACTAGGTATAAACCAGGACTAAACCAAAACTGAACCAGGACTAAACTAGGTCTAAACCAGGACTGAACCAGGACTAAACCAGGACTAAACCAAAACTGAATCAGGACTAAACCAGGTCTAAACCAGGACTAAACCAGGTCTAAACTAGGCCTAAACCAGAACTGAACCAGAGCTGAACCAGGACTAAACCAGGACTAAACCAAAACTGAACCAGGGCTAAACTAGGTCTAAACCAGGACTAAACCAAAACTGAACCAGGACTAAACTAGGTCTAAACCAGGCCTAAACCAGGTCTAAACTAGGTCTAAACCAGAACTGAACCAGGACTAAACCAAGTCGCTAGACGGTCTACACGGGCGCACCTCCAGCGTTTCATCGCTGCTGATATCACAGTGATTTTAGCAAATTTGCATGAAGAAAAACCCACCAATTCAATTCACTTCAATCCAGATAAAAAAAAAACACTGTAACGCGCGTTACTGATATTTGTACAGAGTAAGATATTACTATTTTTTCCCCTGTAATGCCGTAACATTAGTGCATTACAACAAAAAGTGACGCATTACCGTAATTCGTTACTTTTATAACGCGTTACTCCCAACTCTGCTCTCCACAGATCTGACCTGTAACCCGGCCAATATCATTTGTTGTTCTGATAATTTGTGTTATTAGGTTCTTTTTTCAGACCTTACAACATACGCTCTGGTTTGATTTCCGTGAAGATAAAAAGTTTTAACGCCATACTGTGAAACATCTCAGACAAAGTGATAACACCTCCACGGAAAAACACATCCGACGGACTCTCCACCCTCCAGAAAAGTTACACAATGCAGCTTTAAATGGGACGTAATATAGTGTAGTGATCAATACTTCACTCCTCTGGATCTGTGAGTTTTTTAATGCTGATATAAAGTTGTTTTGTGTTTCTTGGACTCATTTTCCGTGTATATATATATTTGTGTAGAGTTATTTCTCGTTAAAAAGTAGTGTTCACATGAAAAGGTCTTTTAAAATGAGAACCGGAGTCTCAGGGCTGTGTCCAAAACCAGCGCACGTCTAGTTTTATTTATTGCACGTAAGAATCGATTGTGGTTTTTTTGGCGATTATGTAAAAAAAAAAAAAAGACAAAGTACGATAAAAGTGTTTGTAGTACCAGGGCCGTACACAGGGATGGGGCAAAGGGGTCTGCTGTCTGGGGCCCCAGGGTTTTAGGGGCCCAGAATTATGTCACGAAACCGGAAGACGTTTGGAAAGATGCAAATGTAGATTAGGAACTCTGATAAAATCTGAGAAAACTAAGAAAAAGGGGCTGGTTTTCTTCATTGAGACGTCATTATTCTTTGTCTTTTTGCTTTTATAAATTGCCTATTAATTTGTGTGTTATAATTTGTCTAACTTAATTTTAAAAAGAAAAAAAAAGAACAGAACTGGACCAGGACTAAAACAGGACTAAATCGGGGCTAAACCAGGATTAAATCAGGTCTAAACCAGGACTAAACCAGGACTAAAGCAGGACTGAACCAGGACTAAACCAGGACTAAAACAGGACTAAATCGGGGCTAAACCAGGATTAAATCAGGTCTAAACCAGGACTAAACCAGGACTAAACCAGGACTGAACCAGGACTGAACCAGGACTAAACCAGGACTGAACCAGGACTAAAACAGGTCTAAAACATTTCTAAAACAGGACTAAAACAGAACTGAACATGGACTAAAATGAGACTAAAACAGGACTAAACCAGAACTACATCAGTTCGAACCAGGTCTAAACCAGGTCTAAACCAGGTCTAAACCAGGTCTAAACCAGGACTGAACCAGGACTAAAACAGGACTAAACCAGAATTGAACATGGACTAAAACAGGACTAAACTAGGTCTAAACCGGGAGTAAACCATGCGATACTCTGCTTCACAGGCTCGGGGTTCTCTCTCTCAAGTCCAAGATTCATCCTGGTTTAGTCCTGGTTTAGTCCTGGTTCAGTCCTGGTTTAGAGGGGGAGGGATCACAAATCATGTACCCCCACTTAAAAAATCCCCACTACACCACTGGTGACATCGAAGACACGATTAAAGTCCCGTCCCCCGTGGAAATCTTTGTCGGGTTGTGAAGACGCTGCTGCTGAATCCACAGTTTTATCACATTGCCCAGTGTCGGGAAATACACCGGAAAACGTCATCCGCATGTTTCCAAACGTCTCCCAGTCTCCGTGATTAAAGCCTGTTGTACCCTCTTCCTATTTATTTATTTTAAAGGGGGGGGGGGCCCCATGTGAGGTTCTTGCCCCGGGCCCTCAAATTTCCATCGACGGGCCTGTGTCAAACTCTCGCATATTAAATTTGTTTGCGTACGTTTACTTACACCCAAACGTCCATTTCGAACTTCGAGCTTGGATTCCGGTGAACACACTTCTCTGTGATTGGTTAATTCTATGCGTCACTCACTCGGGGCATGACTGAAACCGACCAATCAGGAGAGAGGTGGGCGTGTCAGAGTTTGAGCGACGCATTGTACAGAAAACAGAAAAAAAAAAAAAATTTAAATTTACCCATTTATCCGAACCGTTTAAAGCTGCACTTTGTCACTTTTTTGGGTTCTTGGGAGTCCGTCGCCTGCTTGTTGCTATGGTGATGCCACTGCCGCGCCTGGAATGTTCCGCAATGAGGCATTAAGCAGCTTTAGTTCGCATTTATTCAATTACGGCTGGTTTTAAAGCTCAAAAAAAAAAAACTCGAAAAGCACGGATTCTGACTGTGAGCGGGGTCGCCTCTCCGCAGGTCTGACCCGTAACTTGGTCTGGCTTGGTTTCCATGACGATAGATACTGCGGAACATTCCAGGCGAAGCAATAACACGTTTTTTTTGGGGGGGTTTTTTCAGCGTGAAGCACTTCGGTCACCTTGAGTGTTGTAAAGGGCTCGGTAAAAAAAGTCTGACTGATTCGTTGGGAAAAGCGTCTGACGGACCCTCCACCGAAAAAGTTACGTAGTGCAGCTTTAATCTACGGTTACGTTACCCACCTCTAAAACAAAATTACACCACGGTTAAAATCAGGGGCAGCGCCAGGAGGAAGTATGGGGTGAGAAGTCGTTCAACTGGGGCGCACACTTCATTAATTTCAAGCCTTTTATCGTGTTTGCTTCACTGTTTTGAACAAGTTTTAATGTAGTGAGCCCCCGTAGCGATATATAACACATATTTTTACATTTATTTATTTATTTTGTCACATTTTAGACTCTTTTGGAACATTTTTAGTCGAGAATGAGTCCTATGAAAATGTGGAAATAATCTTTAGGGGTGCGTTGGTTATTCTCGGAGAAACTGGTGCCCCCTCAAGCCCCCACCCGGCGCCGCCCCTGGTTAAAATCAACGGATTATAAACAGACTTTTGACTTTTACTGCGTTCAGACACAGCCCTGTTCTCCCTGGATATTACTGGATGGATTCTGTACAAAGTCCCGTCGCAGCAGCTGGTGGGCAGTGGTGACGCTCCACTACCTGTGCGCGTGGATGCCGTTGATGCTGGAGGAGGGGAGGGGGCGCCGCAGCTCCAGCTGGGCCAGCAGACAGAAGTGGTCGGAGGGGATGTGCGGGTGAGGGCAGCCCAGGATGTTATTGTCCAGAAGCCACTGAGAGTCCAGGGGCCCCAGGAGCCCGAGCACAGAGAGCAGGGGCCGAGAGATGAAGATGTAATCGATCACACCCTGCACAAAGACGCACACAGAAGCAGTAAATTATGATGATGATTATTATTATTATTTCTATTTTTATGTTTATAGTTTTATTATTTTTTTATTATTTTCTTTACTTCTTATTTATTTTATTTTAATATAATTCTTTATATTTATGTATTTATTTATGTTTATACAGCCCAGATCTACAGAGGCATAAACCAGCGCTTTTATCTGTTTCATGTTGTGTCCAGTTAAACACCTGTCGCTGAACGTCGTTGTTTAATCGACTCTCCAAGTGCGTTGAGATGCACATCAGTGTTTCCCAAACTTTTTTTTCTGAGGATCCATATTTTAAAAGTCACAAACCTTCCCGACCCAAGTCCATACAGATTACTCATAAATCACAAAATAAAAGTGGATTTGAGCATTATTGAACATTAATGAGGATTTTTTATTGTTGACTGAGTGATCGAGTCTCTGAACAATTAGTATTACTCAAGTTTTAAACAATGAAAAACAGTCATTGAAGCAGCAATAAAAGGATCCATAAGTCGCCTATTTGGACATTAAATCTAGTTCATTTCTTTTTCTTTTCAACATTCAACTGAACCAGCAATATTGGAAGAAAATAGTCAATAAAATAATTACAAAAAGATTAGAAATGATACAAAACATGTCTTAACATTTCAGCATTTCTAGTGAGATAGTTGGACCTGTCTGTGTTCAGTCCGGGTGCAGGAGGAGACGCAGCAGCAGATCAGGCGCAGGATTCAGTTTGTTTCTGTGCTTTGTTTTCATTTTGTGAGCACAGAAAATCACAATTCACACAAATATGTAGTAGGTAAGGCAAGGCAAGCTTATTTGTACAGCACAATTTGTACAAAAAGTAATTCAAAGTGCTTTACACAATAAGAAATACATGAAAATCACAATACAAACTAATCAAAACATAAATAAATTGTGAAAGGATTAAGCATAGAAACACTGGCCCTACTGAGGACAGGCTATTCACTAGATCTCTCATGTGTCAGAACTGTATATTGCAAACCCACATACACAAGGTGACTGTGACGGAGCGCCTGTGTTACCCCGTCATCTCCCGACTGGCGCGTCTGCATCTGGCCAAAGAGCGCACGATGCTTCCTTCCCTCCCCGTTTTGCGAAGCCAAGCTCCGATAGACTGGTTTATGCAGGACCACTCGTGTGTCTCGCGGTCCTGTTTTTCCCCCAACATCTGAACGGTTTCCCGGCTAGTGCGTTCGAGGCTGCACACTCGACGCCGACGCCGCTTTCTTACCTGCAGCAGCCTCCAGTTCTTGGGTTCGGGGCCAAATCGAGGCACTTCCTGGTTGTGCTTTAAATAGCGCATAGTGGCGCGCTCAAGGGGGGACATGTGATCATGGACTCGACCATTGTGGTCTATTTGGGATCATTTGTGGTTTTTGAAGTTGTTTAATGGAACTTATGTTAACCTTATGAGGGGTTCTTTAAGTTATTTTTATTATGTTTATTTCCAAGTTGATTTGTGTTCCTCAATACCTGACCTGACTACGTGGGTGCTGGCAACTGTAAGTGTGATTATTGTACATTTTGTCTACCACCTCTTTTTTTTTTGTTTGTCACTGTAAATATTCCACTCTGCACTTGGAGCTGTGGTGTGAATAAAAAACCCACTTAAGTGAAGTTTTTTGACTGAGCCATCATTTTTACATTTATTTCGGACGAACCCGTGACAGTGACCCCAAAAAAAATCTCTTGCGACCCAGTCTTTAGGAAACAATGGTCTATATCAGGGGTGCCCACACTTTTTCAGCATGCGAGCTACTTATAAAATGTCCAAGTCAAAAATGATCGACCACCTACAAAGTCAAATAAACTGTACTGGACTTAAGAGAACTTTCAATAGCACTTTACAGAAAACTGAAAAAAGTGAAGACAGTGATTAAGATTTTTAAACTTGTTTTTCCAAGTTCCTAACTGGAGTTACATGGTTGAGTACGAGTTTTACAGTGGGATTTAACCTCTGCACATTTACCAAACCAAACGCACGTCGTGACAAACACGAATTTAAACTTTAGCCACATGTCGCGGTAGATCTGCTCTGTGCTGTTGGTGTCCTCTGTGCCAACACTAACATAAATTTAGATCAGTTTTTGCTTCGTGTTTTGTCTTGTCCTTCTAATCTGCGTCCATTGTGGAAGGAGCCTGTGCACTTTACGCGGGGAAAAGCGAGCGCGTGAGAAGGCGAGGAGCGGTGCGCTGACGTGAGGCAGATGGACAGGTAGGATGTTTAAAAAAGGTTAACCTGCCCTGTGATACACGCTGGTACACAAGTACTCACACTGTTGCGGACAAGCCGCGCGAAGGGAGTGTGTGTGATTGTGATGTGCCGCACAGTATCCGCGTGTTCCAGATGACACACAGGCTACAGAGAGACTCCGCACGCTCCTGCACCCTGTTTATTGCCAACAGCAGTGGCCATAATATGATCGCACTTGTCCAGTGTCAGACCTCGAGTGAGAGACAAGACCGAGGCCAAACGTGATCGAGTCCGAGACGAGTACTAGGACACTGTGATCTCCCTACACGACCTTGGGGATCAACTGGTAGATCCCGATCGACGTATTGGGCACCACTGCTCTATATTGACCGCTCTAAGGACCACTGATGCCCACTGCTTTTCAAGATGTGAAATCTGGGGGAAATTTTGAGTGCACTACTTTTTCACCTGCTGATAATTCGGACACTCCTGAAAACGGCGTGACCCGTAAACAGTGCTCTAACTAGAGAACAGTGAGGACATTCAGACACAGCCTGTGAATATCGTATCAGCACGCGGCGTTGCGTACCTTGAAGTCGTATGTGTAGTTGGTGTAGGGCATCATGCTCTCGTAGGCGCTCTTGAGCTGGAAGCTGTGGGTGATGCTCCCGTCTCCGCCCGTCCCGTTACAGCTGAAGTTGGACAGACACTCGTTGTAGCGCAGCTCCTTAAAGTCTTTGTGGTTCTCTGCGACGCCTCCGTTACTCAGGTACTCCACCACACCTGGAAACACGCCAGCCAGGAGACCATATTAGTTAACATTTATATCACAATAATTATTAAAGTTGCTGACAGTTTAAAAATGTTATTGACATGAATACTTTTTAAATTTTAATATTATGAATACCATATTTCCAAATTTAAATAATTATTATAAAACTGTACCTTGCTTAGGTTGACCAGATTTTCAAAATAAAAAACTAGGACACTCGGTTTGTGGTGGTTGGTAATAATTAAAGTGTGAAACGAGTGTGTAAATAATGCAAAACTGTTCTTGGCCCTTTCATGACTAACATGAATCAGTATAGTCACATTTTCTTTATGATTTGGTGATTTTTAAGCAGCTTTTTTCTATTTCACCTAAAAAAATGACAATGTATGCCTCTCTTTACTGTTGGCACATTTCTTGTGTAAAACTGGGACAAATCACTGGTTCTGGATAAATCAGCTGGGACAGGGGACACAGAGCTGGGACTGTCCTGAGTAAACAGGAGCGTCTGGTCATTCTGACCTTGTTATTAGTGAAAACAACAGTGATGTAGAAGAGAATGTCATGGATAAGCAACTTTTTAGTGCACATTCTCGAGATTTATTGGTGGTTTTCAAATTGTAGAATGTGATACTCCAGGAGATATATTCAACATTTGTGAATTTACCTTTTGGATATTTGTGTGCGTGTGTGTAAAAAAAAATAAAATAAATAAATAAATAAAAAAAAATATATATATATATATATAATATATATATATATATATACATATATATACACACACACACACATGCACACAAATATCCAAAAGGTAAATTCACAAATGCTGAACCTGAACATTTCTATCAGTGTCTCGACACAAAATCTCTCTGTATGGCAACAAAAATCTGCAATTTCACAAAATGAACTGTAGCTGCCCCCCGTCTCTATTATATATAAAAAACATTGGTCTATAGAATGTTGTGACGTCATCTGAAACCCACCAATGGTGATTCTCTTTGTGGGCAACTCTCACAATATAAAATGTCCCACAAACGATTCTTGTGTACTGGGGTGTAATCGTTCATTTATTCACATTGGGTTCAGTGCAGGGCTGTGCACGAGTGAGTTTGTGCAATTTGTGTGTGTACATTTGGCCACTACATGTGCAGCTACACGGACGCTCGGCTCTTTAACATTCATGAGGAACTCGTCTGTGATTAGGGCAGAAGTGTTTCCCGCAGCGCCTTGACTACGACTCTCTGAACCTCATGAATCCTCACAAAACTACGGTCATCACAAAACGGTCCTCACTGTCACCTTTCGCCATGACCTCTGTCCCGAGTGAGGGGGACGTTGGGGACGTTGTAACTGCAGCAGATCTGCACTTACTGTAGACAATATTAGATTTATTAGTTTTACCAAGCAGCACTTTGTATTTATTTTATTTTCCCATTTGTATCATTATACAAATGGGAAACTAAAATAAATGTTTGGTTTAATAAAAACACAAATAAACAAACAAATTGTTTTGCATTTTGGTCCCAAACTGAACCAAAAATGACCCGAACTGTAATGTTTGCGTATGGTTACAGCCCTACTGTGTGTCCTTTTTATCACCATAAACACTATTATAATTTATCGTCCCATCCCTACACATTACTAGTAAAAAAAACCAAGAGGGAGAAACTTGAAACGACCTCCACGTAAAAAAACTGTCGTGTTGTAGAGGCTGTGTCACTGCCGCTCCAGTGCACCTGTCGTTCAGTTCCGTTCCAACAGGTGGCGTCCTTGTGTTCCTAAGACTTTGCCCTGTCCACATTTGTACAGATTTTTTTCACATTGAGCTCTGATGTATTTTCAGAGTGTCCCTTTATTTTTTGAGCTGTGTGTGTGTGTGTGTGTGTGTGTGTGTGTGTGTGTGTGTGTGCGTGTGTGTGTATCTGTGCGTGCGGTACCTGAGTCTGGCAGTGAGTTGAGGTCGGCGCAGAGCACGATGGGGATGGCGGAGGGGTCGGGGGTGGCGGAGGGGTCAGAGGTCGCAGAGGCGCGCTCCCGGATGCTCTTGAGCTCGGACAGGAACATCATGGTCTGGATGAGTTTCACGTCGGAGAACTCGGGGTCCCAGTGCATGTGAGCGTTGGCCACCAGGATCAGCTGCCTCTCGGTGGACGGCTTCAGACCTGCAACAGTCACAACAACAACAACAACACACCTGAGTCGCATTTTATTTTAGTTTGTGAGGTCAAATATAATGAGTTTTCTCTTCATGATTACACATATAACCATCAGGAAGTGTGTGTTAGTGTAACCACGACGGCAAAACTTCATTCTGGCTTCTGGAAGTTTTGAAAAGTGCTCATAAAGTCATTGCTGTGAATAATTATGGTGCTTGGAATACGTAAGGTAAGCAGAGTTGGGAAGTTTATTTTTAAAATGTATTCCCCTACAGATTACAGATTACATACCCCAAAATGTAGCTTGTAACATAATCCATTAAGTTACTTAAGGTGAGTAATGTAATCTGAATACTTTGGATTACTTGATTTGCTGTAGAGAAACAAAGACGAGGAAATCTTCACATAAGAAGTTTTATCTGCTTAAAGAAAATGAAAAGCCCAGACTTTACTGAACCAAATTAAAAATATTATTGATAAAGGAGGAGGAGACACGTCCGCACAGCATGATTTAGTCCTGTTCAATCCTGGTTTAGTCTTGTTTTAGTCCTGCTTTTGACCTGGTTTAGACCTGGTTCAGTCCTGTTTTAGTCTTGGTTTAGATCTGGTTTAGACCTGGTTTAGACCTGTTTTAGTCCTGCTTTAGACCTGCTTTAGACCTGGTTTAGTCCTGTTAAATCCTGTTTTAGACCTGGTTTACTCCTGGTTTAGACCTGGTTTAGACCTGGTTTAGACCTGGTTTAGACCTGGTTTAGACCTGGTTTAGACCTGGTTTAGACCTGGTTTAGACCTGGTTTAGACCTGGTTTAGACCTGGTTTAGACTTGGTTTAGACTTGATTTAGACCTGGTTTAGTCCTGTTAAATCCTGGTTTAGTCCTGGTTTAATCCTGGTTTAGACCTGGTTTAGACTTGGTTTAGACCTGGTTTAGACCTGGTTTAGTCCTGGTTTAGACCTGGTTTACACCTGGTTTATTCCTGGTTTAGACCTGTTTTAGTCTTGGTTTAGATCTGGTTTAGACCTGTTTTAGACCTGCTTTAGACCTGGTTTAGTCCTGTTAAATCCTGTTTTAGTCCTGTTTTAGTCCTGTTAGTCCTGGTTTAGTCCTGGTTTAGACCTGGTTTAGACCTGGTTTAGACCTGGTTTAGACTTGGTTTAGACTTGGTTTAGACCTGGTTTAGACTTGATTTAGACTTGGTTTAGTCCTGTTAAATCCTGGTTTAGTCCTGGTTTATAGTGTCCGGCAATGAGTGGAATTACTGAAAAAAAAAGGGAATAGCCCAAAATGTGAAAACAGGAAAATCCCGCAGTGTAATCCTTTTATTTCAAAAAAGTAACTGTAATCTAATTACCACTCACTGAAACAGTAACTGTAACTGAATACAGTTACTCATAATTTGTACTCTGATTACATAACTCCGGTACATGTAATCTGTTACTCCCCAACACTGAAGGTAAGTAAAGAATACCTCTAGGACAATTTAAAATGAACTAGTTCTGTTTTTCATGTTTTTAAAAAAGTACAAATCAGGAACAGCAAACGTGTTTTAAGATCACATCAACTCACATCAATGTTTATTTGTACAATCAGAGTTTGTATCTTTTCTCTTGAGTCTTATTGATTCACTGCTTTTCATTTATTTTCTGTGAGTGGATATTACAGAAGTGTTCTATAAATTTAAACATGGTTTTGGTCTTGTGTACTTTCTTTCTTACTTCACAAAAATAATACATAAATAAACAAATAAATAAATAAACATTCCACGTATTAAAGTTCATTAGATCCGTGTTCTGTCGGGATTTAAACACTGCGTGGTACAGATGCACACACAGATCCTTCACATGGAGCGTGTACCTGAGGAGAACACCTCCTTCTTCACCTCCAGCAGCACGGCCACCCCGATGTTGTCTTTGGTCATGACCCTGTTCAGCATGACCTCTGACCCCTCCGAGTTTGCCATGGCAACCTGATTAAACTCCACAGTGTGTTTCTGCACCAGCGTGAACCTGAGGACATCATGTCATTTACATGTTAGAAATGACACTGTGTATTACAGGTGAAAGTATCAAATATTTAAAAATGATGAATATATTAATAAGCCACAAAGTCCCCAGTAAAACTGCACTGACAATATCAGCTGATCACCAAAAAAACACTACAGACCTACACATTTTCTACACAAATGAGACTGAATTAGGATACTCATTGTACTACTACTATAGTACTACGCGAGTATTTGTTCTATCAAACTGACTTGTCAGTCTTGAAGAAGACCGCACAGCCGTCCACGTGCTTGCGCTCCGGCTCTGACACCAGTTTGGCTCGAGACTTTGGGCAGAAGTATCCGTCATACCCACGATCCTTCAGGGTCTCCAGGAAGAACGTGTAGTACTGCTCCGTCTCTACCTCCTGACAGAGAAGAAGAAGAGGAAGAGAAAGAGAAGAGGGAGGAACAGAGAGAGAGAAAAGAAGAGAGGAAGAGAAGAGACTGCTGTAATATCTGAAATTAACTTCCCTATGTGACAATGATAATACTGGAGTACATATACTGTGTGTATTTGTGTATTTATAGTTGAGTGACGCGCTCGGTCAGTGTCAGAGTCAGAGTTAGTGTTCATTAGGGACGGGCATTCGATGAAATTTTCTTAATCGATCGTCGGAAGAATTAATGATCGATTATCGATTAATCATTATTAATTTTTTATATGAAAATGATCATCATTATTATTACTATCTGCACTACTAATCTGTACGAATAAATTCAACTTTACGACATATAAACATAACGACTTTAGAGCCACATCAATTCGTTTGACATTATAATGTGTTTAATTCAGTTTTGTTCAAATCTCACAGAAACAAAACTTAAAACCACATCACTAATTTACATAAACTCAGTGAAGATAAAACTCCAGCTCTTGTGTCGCTGATGTGGTTCAACTTGTGTTGGATTAAAAGACATGACTCAGGTGAATACAGGTTAGTGTGACCATATTTGAGTTTGTCAAAACCAGGACACCGTACGGGGGGAGGGGGGCGGGGCCTCGTCATCCACATTGAGCGACTCTCACCTGGAAAAACTTTTTGCAACTGGACACAGAAACATATGTGCTGCTTTAAACATTGTGCACATGGACTCACACTTGTCCCCAACGCAACGGAATTTCTTGTACAAATCATCGTTAAATCCACATTTGTGCTTCGGTTCGTTGCAGACTGACCCACTGTTTGTGTCTCACTCCTTCTGATGCAGAGACACATGTACACACCTGTTTGGTCACGACACACACAAACATACATTCAGTTTGTCCATTAAAATGAACGTAATCCATGAAATTCTTAATGATCAATTATCGATTAATCGATTAATCATGCCCATCCCTAGTGTTCATAAAGTGCAGTGTGTTCCAGTGTAATAAAGTGAGTGTGACCCACAGGCTCCTGCGCTCGTGTGTTTGGAGAGAACGGTACACACAGATATGATTTATACTGCACACACACACACACACTCACACTCACACTCACACACACTCACACTCACACACACACAGAACAGTGTCTGTGTGAGTCTGAACTGCAGCCTGGGTCTTTGGAGGGTTTGATGTTACATAATATATTTACAGAGCACAGTACAGTTTGTAGTACAGCGGTTGTCTGACCTGCAGGTTGGTGAAGTCTGTATCTGTGAATAGTTTGGTACAGTTTAATATAATAGTACAGTTTATGGTGGTCGTTTCGAGTACCTGCAGACTGATGATGTCTGCGTCACAGTGGGTGATCTCCTCCATGATGCCCTTCTTCCTGTACTCCCAGCTCAGGGCCCAGGACGGGCAGTAGCCGTAGAGCTGCCGCGTGGCGTATTTATCACACAGCACGTTATAACACATGACGGAGAACACCGCTGAAGGAGAACAGGCGCACGGCGGGGTCAGAGAAGGACAAAAAACAAAAGAGAGAGAGATAAGAAACACGACAAATGCACGCAGAACTTTTAAGTACTGACCCAGTTTGATAAGCGTTAGCACAGACTATAAAACCAACCCACATGATGTTATTTTCAAGATAAAATAATCGCTTTTTGTGGTTTTGTACTAATTCTGATATAGAGAGACTTTCTAAAACTATTCAGGAAAAGTGCAATTTTTTTCAGTATCGATACACCGCAAAAAAGCTTGGCCAAACATAAGATATAAACACTTTAATCGATCAGAAAATCAAATCTTAAAAGTAGTGAAATTATCTGTCCATGCATCAAGATAATTTTACTTGACAAGTGTCTTAAAATAAACAACTCTAGACTAGACTTAAGCATCTCTGAACTAGTAAGTAGATAATAAATCTGAAAACAAGATGATTTATTTGATATAAGTTTTAAAATCTTGGTGACTTCAGAGAAATGTGCAGTGTACCACAGACTGTTTATACAAATAGTTAACATAGTTAACCTGATGGTCGTCACATTCTAAACACAAAGTGGGCATGTGCAAGATTTGGCTCCACAGACTCTAGATTAATTTTATATTGAAAAAACAGCCAAATTCCAAATATGGATGTAACTGCCGGCCTCGACTGACTTCATTTGACTGGAGCCAGGCGCTACAGGTCGCGTCCCACTCGCTCACTCCATGTCTATGATCAAAACTCTCGTGTGTTCTGATTCCTGAATCACTGGAGATAAATGAAACTGAGCGGAGACACCAGGTGGCACCAGCCTGACTAGTGCTCATTGGTGCATCAACCCAAAAATAATTTTCTCTTCCTACATTTACTTCCTTAATACGGTGGAGCTCCTCCCACTCATGTGACATCTGTCACGTGCACGACGGGGAGCGTTTGGACCAATCAGAGTGAGAGCTGCTAGAACGGCTCAAAGTGGGGCGAGGCTTAGTCTGACAAAGATCAGTTTTAGGTGCTTTGAAGATATGTTTATGTTGTGAAAAAGTTGATGTTGTGAAAACAGAATAGAAACCTACAAAAACCGACCTTTGTGAAAGTTATAGATGCCCTGTCAGTCAAACACGGGCAGTCTGAATTCACAAAATGGAAGAATTCTTTCTGGGCCCAAGCTCCCTGGAGCTGCAGTACCAGGAGCGACCACTAGTCGGTCTCGAGCTGGACAGAGGAGGAGGGGCTTATCCCGTTTATATTATAGATTCATGGCTGCCACATTGAGATCAGCAAGTGTTTTATCAGTTTGTGAGAAGACCTCAGTCTAAATGTGCAGGATTTGTGTGTTAAACGTGTGAATGAAACAAAACACAACTCCAGGTCCATTTGTGACGAGGAAACGACATTAGAAAAGCGTAAATAAACCGTTTAACTCCTGGTGTGTGCCGTGGGTTTTGTACCTGTGGAGTTGATCTGGTCCCGGTCTCTCAGGGTGATCCAGGGCCTCTGTGGGAGCTGCTCCGGGTGGACTGACACAAACAAAGGAGTCGCGGTGAGTTCTGGTGAAGCGTGAGCCGGACAAAAGACTGCGGCGGCGTTTACGGTAAAAGCAGCGTTAAATATTCATGACGCCCGCGCATCACCTGAGCTCACCTGCCAGGTTGTCCAGCATGTAGTTGAGCAGTTTCCTGGTACCGTCCGGCTCCTGGTAAAGGTTTAAAATGTCCTGGGACAGAGGGTTACCTGGAAGAAACCAGAGGAGAGAGGAGTCTAGTAATAATAGTAGTAGTAGTAGTAGTAGTGGTTTATTCGGTCATTATGCAGCACTACAAAACAAAACTAAAACTAAACATAAACTACAACCCGAAGGATCATGACTGAAAGGGTTTAGGCTGAAGTAAAAAGCAAACACACCTAAAACTATAAAACAATGACAGAATTCCAAGAAAGAAAAGCAAGTTTACATTTTCAATTTCATTTAAAACTTACTGTAAATATAACTTTTTTTAAGATCATGACTCAGATTGTTCCGTAAACTCACCCCTCAAACAGACATACAGTCTTTTTTTTTTTTTAAAGATGCCAGTTTTTTTTCCGTTTATGGTCATACAAACTGATAATAATGATGAAGAAGGCACAAAATGTATTGTTTATGATCGTAAAAGGTAATGTCAAAGAAATTGTGAAAAGAAAAGCCTATGTTTAGTTAATAATAATAATAATAAAATAAAAAAATAATAAATTAATACATTAATAATAATAATAATAATAATACAAGTAAAAAGGAAAAGAAAGATGGAGGAATAAAAAAAAAATGCCTTTAAAATTGTGTAAGAATGTAGTAAAAAGTAGAAAATGAAAGCAAAAGATGATGGTGAAAATAATATTAGTTAAGTATAATGAGTAAAAGTGTGTGTGTGTGTGTGTGTGTGATTGTGTGTGTGTGTGTGTGTGTGTGTGTGTGTGTGTGTGTGTGTGTGTGTGTGTGTGTGTGTGTGTGTGTGTGTGTGTGTGTGTGTGTGTGTGTGTGTGTGTGTGTGTGTGTGTGTGTGTGTGTGTGTGTGTGTGTGTGTGTGTGTGTGTGTGTGTGTGTGTGTGTGTGTGTGTGTGTGTGTGTGTGTGTGTGTGTGTGTGTGTGTGTGTGTGTGTGTGTGTGTGTGTGTGTGTGTGTGTGTGTGTGTGTGTGTGGTGTGTGTGTGTGTGTGTGTGTGTGTGTGTGTGTGTGTGTGTGTGTGTGTGTGTGTGTGTGTGTGTGTGTGTGTGTGTGTGTGTGTGTGTGTGTGTGTGTGTGTGTGTGTGTGTGTGTGTGTGTGTGTGTGTGTGTGTGTGTGTGTGGTGTGGTGTGTGGTGTGTGTGTGTGTGTGTGCTTGGATGAGCTGCGAAACGTTATTCGACCAAATAAACTTTTGTCCAGTTGAGAAATTGAATTTCTCTTTTGTCAGTGATTCTCCCTGGACGACTGAGGAATTTTACACACATCTTAATTTTCACTGGTTTTATTGTTTTAGGTCTGAGATAATACATTTTTTTGCAATTTAACTTTTGTTGTCTTCATTTTATGTTAACGTTTGCTTTCTGTGCAGCACTTTTGTTTGTAAAATTTGCTGTATAAATAAAGTGGATTTAGATTTGGATGGTCTGAGCCAAGAACTAACTGCAGTTCATGTTTGCCACGTTTACAGGAAGCTTTAATTCTGAATAAAAGTTAATTCCGCTTTAAAAAGATGATAAAAATAATTCCGAAGTAAGTGTGTGATTTTTTCTAATTTTAAAGCCAAATTAATTTATTCCTGGATCATGTAAACGTTTACTCTTGTTAAAAATAATCCCGGTGGTTCAGTTCATGTTCGTTGTGTCGTCCTTCGATCCGGCTCCACCAGTCCTGCTTGGGACTTTCCTCCACATCTCTTTGGATTTGTGAGCGGGATGTGGGAGTGGGCTGAGGTAGAGCAGCCTCGCACTCACTTTGTCTTCTTCCTCCTTCGCCGACACTCTTCCCTTCTCCTCCTCAGCCGACAGACGTAAAGCGTGATGAGAGAATTCTCCAGCTACTGCGCAATTATCATCGGAAAAAGTTTGGATGGTGTTTGTGTCCGTGGAGTAACGACAAATCGAGATGACAGAAAAGCCGGGAGCAGCTGAAGTGTTTGTGTTTTCAACGTAAATACGTTTGTGTCTCTGTTTAATCAGAACCTTCCCCACCCCCAGACTTTGAGCAGAATTAAATTAAATAAAGACGATTTAATGAGTTTTCCATGTAAACCTCAATACTGAATTATTATTTCCATGTACACTCGAAGGAGAATATTTTAATTCAGAAATGAAAAACATCATGTAAATGTGTTTTCTTGTTCCTTTTTTTGTTCCTTTTTTCATGACAAAATTCCGCAATGGTGCCTTGAGTCTCGAATGCATGAGAATAAAACTAGTCAAACATGAATCAGCATAAGAAATGTAAAAATAACTTGGAGTTGATTTAGTGAAAAGGAGTAACGCGACTTTAATTATAAGAAAAAAAGAAGGAACTACACAGACAATGAGTTAAATTAATAATAATAATAAAAATAGACAGTGTTTACAATCTTAAACCATTGAATTTCCTACTTTTAAAGCTGCACTGTGTAACTTTTCTGGTGGAGGGTCCGTATGAAAGTTAAATTAAACAGCTCTACTTTATATTTATTCAATTACGGGTGGTTTTAAAGTTCAAAAATACCTAGAAAACGTGGAGTTCTGACTGTGAGAAAAGCGTTCGACGGACCCTCCAGCAGAAAAGTTACACAGTGCAGCTTTAGCGTTTAGTTTCGGACGGTCTCTTACCTTTGAGTCCGAGAGTCTGGAGCTGGAAAAGCCTCCCGAGTTCATAAGGCAGGACTCGTAGAAGATTGTTGTTTAAAAGCAATTCCCTGCACAACGACAAAAAAGCCAAAATATCCAGTGAAAAGGAAACAAGTTCAAGCTCAGCAGGTTGGACTTCATTTCGTAACATTTTCTGACAACATGTCAAGTCAATATGCAAAAGAACTAAAACTAAAGTGGAAATTCTTATGCATTTTTGGGACACTTTTGTAATGTTACTTCACAGTTTAAAAGGTGCATTGTGTAACTTTTCTGTTGGAGGGTCCATCCAATGTGTTTCTCCATGGAGATGTTATTGCTTTGTTTGGAATGTCCCACAGTGCGGCATTAAACCGTTCTATCTTCATGGAGACCGAACCGGACCAAGTTACAGGTCAGATCTGTGGAGAGGGCGACCCCGCTCTCAGTCAGAATGTTTGTTTTTTTACTTATTTGAGATATATAAATCCACCTGTAATTTAATAAATGTAAAGTCGAGCTGTTTAATGTCATACTGTGGAACATTACAAGCAAACGAATGACATATTGTATCCACAGAAACAAGCAGGTGACGGACCCTCCAGAAAAGTTACACAATGCACCTTTAAATAACTTCTATATAGAAAAGACAAAAGCTGCTTTCAGTTTCTAAGCACTAGACAGAAAAAAGCAGCTATACAGGCAACTTTTAGTGACTCCAAAGATCACTGTAGTGGATCTGGACGGTTCAATATCAATGTTTCCTTTTGTTTGGTTTTTTTTTTGTAATTTTCTTTTTTATTATTTCTTAAGGTGACCTGGGGGGTATTCCATGAAGCGAGATAAAGTGAAAGCCTGGTTTATTTGGCCAGTCCTGGTTTATCAAGGCTGAGGTGACTGACCAGAGGTGACCTGAGTTGCCGCAGTAACAAACACCCGGAAACAAACCTGGTCAGGACCAGACAAACTGTCAAGATTAATTTAGCTTTGTCTCCATGAATATCTAAAGAAACAGTTTAGTCCAAAGTTTCAGCACGAGCATCACACACCTGTGTAAAACACACACACCCGTGTAAAACACACACCTGAGTCAGAAACACCTGTCTCTCTGTGATACAGTTTAAAAAGTGAATTTTACAGTCAAGTCTCTATAGACTTTTACAGTCCATACACTGCCTCTCCTCACGCTTCTCAGCTCAGAATGACCGGAAACGTTCCGTGTCCCAAATGAAGCTCTTGTCCGTGCGCTGTGGCTCCTCTCTCATTTAATCAGATCATTTAAAAGTCACACTTTGAGCCCATTTTCCGTGATGCTCCATTGATCTGTCCTTCTCAGAGTCACTTCAGGCCTGAGTGGCTTTAGTCTGGCTCAGGATTATTTCTGTCATGGAATGAACTGAGTCTTAAACAAGAGATGGAGCGAGATTCAGCTCAGGATTTCAGGAGAAGCCTGGACATGATAAGCCTCTTTAATGGAACACACCCTGGTGTGTATAAACTTACAAATAAACTGAGCCGTACATGTTTTCATTGTACTAACACATTTACATATATAGAGTTTTCTCTGTCTGGGCGTCGTACCTGAGAGACACCATGTTGCCCATCTCGGCGGGCAGGCTGCGGAGCTTGTTGGACGACAGGTTCAGGTAGAGCAGGTGCGGCAGGCGCGCGATGTCAGGGGGCAGGCGGCTCAGATTGTTGTCCTGGATGTGGAGCGCCGTGAGGTGAGTGAAGGTCCAGAGGGAGCTGCTCAGACTGCGAACGCGACCTGGACAAAGACACACAAGTACAAGAGGAGTCAGAGTATACGAGTACAAGTACAAGAGGAGTCAGAGTAAGAGAGTCAGAGAGTAGTACGAGTACAAGTACAAGAGGAGTCAGAGTATACGAGTACAAGTACAAGAGGAGTCAGAGATATACGAGTACAAGTACAAGAGGAGTCAGAGTATACGAGTACAAGTACAAGAGGAGTCAGAGTATACGAGTACAAACGTACAAGAGGAGTCAGAGTATACGAGTACAAGTACAAGAGGAGTCAGAGTATACGAGTACAAGTACAAGAGGAGTCAGAGTATACGAGTACAAGTACAAGAGGAGTCAGAGTATACGAGTACAAGTACAAGAGGAGTCAGAGTATACGAGTACAAGTACAAGAGGAGTCAGAGTATACGAGTACAAGTACAAGAGGAGTCAGAGTATACGAGTACAAGTACAAGAGGAGTCAGAGTATGCGAGTACAAGTACAAGAGGAGTCAGAGTATACGAGTACAAGTACAAGAGGAGTCAGAGTATACGAGTACAAGTACAAGAGGAGTCAGAGTATACGAGTACAAGTACAAGAGGAGTCAGAGTATACGAGTACAAGTACAAGAGGAGTCAGAGTATACGAGTACAAGAGGAGTCAGAGTATAGAGTAGTACAGAGAGTATACGAGTACAAGAGGAGTCAGAGTATACGAGTACAAGTACAAGAGGAGTCAGAGTATACGAGTACAAGTACAAGAGGAGTCAGAGTATACGAGTACAAGAGGAGTCAGAGTATACGAGTACAAGTACAAGAGGAGTCAGAGTATACGAGTACAAGAGGAGTCAGAGTATATGAGTACAGTCTGTGTTAGAAAAGTTCATTTTCTACATAAACTAGTTCAAAGTTCATTTCACAAATTTCAAAATGATCTTGTTTGTTCATAATTGTTTATAGTTGATGGTTCGTTCATGTTTCCAAAAAATGAACTAGTTCATTGTTCATTTATTTCAAAACGTTGCTGTGAGTGATTATTTTTCAGTATCGTTGCCAAAGCCCAAATAGAACCACAGTGTGTGGTTTGAAGTTTGCTGTTGATGTGACTGAAGTGTGGATTTTGTTTTTGAAAGCTGCCGGGCAAAGTTTGCACATAAATGTGAGGTTCTTTCCTTCCTCACCGACCTTGTCATAGAGTCTTTTAAATTTAATGTTTGACGGTTTGATGGACCCTCGACCGGAAAAGTTACAGTTCTTTAAACCCAAGTTATCTTCTCATAATGATACACTTAATTTCATCTAAAACTAGAAGATTATTTCACCAAATCCTGAAATAAAAATAATTTCTGTGACAGTGTGAGGTACAGACCGGAGATCTCCAGCTCCGCCCACTGGGACTTTTTGCCACTGGCCACTTCGTCGGCCGCCATGATGGAGTAACACCTGCGCGGGTCGGGAGGCTCATATTTTTCCTTTGGCATTACTGGTATTCTGAAAAATATCATAAAAAAACAGGTCAGATCTGTGGAGAGGCGACTCCGCTCAGTCAGAATGTCTGTTTTTCTAGGTATTTTTGAGCTTTAAAACTTCCTGTAATTGAATAAATGTAAAGTTGTATAATGTCACACTGTGGAACATTCCAAGCAGAGAAAGGACATCTCCACAGAAACAAGCAGGTGACAGACCCTCCACCAGAAAAGCTACAGAATGCACCTTTAAGAACAGCAGATTACATGTCCTTCGTGACCTTCCAGCACTGATTAAAACATGAATCACAAATCTTAATCACAATCACAAAGCTTGTCAGAAAAAATGCAATTGGACTTTTTTTTCACAAATCGTTCATGTTTAGTTTGAACATTAACAGGAGAATATAAATAACTGGGGAAATCAGATAACCCCATAATCTGATTACTGGTGTTTACAGTTAAAATAACATTCTTTGTCATTGCTGGATTAGTCGAGGGCTGTGCACGAATGAGTTTGTGCAGTTTGTGTGCGTTTACATTTGTCCACTGCATGTGCAGCTACACGGAGGCTCGGCTCTTTAATATTCACGAGAGAACTCGTCCGTGACTGGGGCAGTGTTTCCTGCAGCGCTTTATAGTTAGGGCAACTGCCTTGACAACAAATGCCCCCCCGTCTCGACTAAATCCACAAACCACGTGAATCCTCAAAAAGCTACAGTTGTCGCGCAGCAGTCCTCACTTTTGCCTTTCGCCGCAACCTCTGTCCCCAGCAAAAGTGTATTTTCAACCTCTGGAGACACTGTACCTGCAGTGTCAGTGCAGACAATGTGGACAAGTTGGTTTTCTGGCCAAAAATATAAAAACTGAGTAAAACTTCATACTGGAACTGTTAGTGCTTTACTTTTTGAAAAGTTTTGTTTACTGTGTACAAGGAATTTATTTTTTATAATATTTCATACATTTGTTGCTTATAATAATATAATATTTTATTAAACTTATTAGTTTTACCAAGCAGCACTTTTACATTTATTTTATTTTCCCGTTTGTATAATGTTCAAACAAATTGATGGTTTAATAAACACAAATAAACAACAAGTAAATGGTTTTGTATTTTGTTCCCAAACTGTACAAAAATGAAACAAACCGTGATTTTTGTGTAACATTAAACATCTACAAAGCATATTAGATTTAGTTTTAAAGGGCCCATATTACATTATTAACTGATCTATGTTCTAATGTTGTTTCCTCATCACAAACAGACCTGGAGTTGTGGTTTGTTTCATTCACCCTGCACATTCAGGCTTAGTTCTTCTCAGAAAACATTCTGCTCCACTCAATCATTTGGATGAATCAGGCCTAAAACTCCCAAATCTCCACTGAACTAAAGTTAAAAGGAGCTGTTCACTTGAAAACTATCGCTTCATTGGCAGGAAAAAAGGCGATTACAAAAAAATGGATGACACAAACTGCACCATCGATCAAAGACTGGTCGGAAATTATAAATGAAATTCAAAAAAATGGAAAAAATAATATTTCGACTTAATTTGAAAATGGACCTCTTTGACAAACTTTGGAGTAAATGGGACTCATACGCTGGACAGGAAGTGCCGTAATATTATTTAAATATTATTTAAATTTAAATGTGATATAAAAACATTGGATGGAGTCTGTCAAATTTGTTTTCTCTCTATGTCATGTTCACTGTTTTGTGTTATGTGTTGTTTACCTTTTCATCAAAACTAGAAAGAAAAATAAAATAAAAACAAAAAACAAAAAAAACTATCGCTTCATGACATCACAAGGTGGACCAGAGCATTTTAAGCTTTGGAGATGTTCGTGTTTATTTATTAAATATGGGAAAGTGCACATTGATCATGAACATGTGGCAGTCGAGCTGAGACTGAGAGGAGACAGGAACACAAAGAGGGCACACACACAATCTAAACCACAACTATTTTATTATGTCGTTTCCTCATCGCAAACAGACCACACGCTTAACACACAAACCCTGCACTTCTACGCTTAGTTCTGCCACCTCATGATGTCATGTGGTAATACAGGACGTGCTCCACTGTGTTTTTAAACTCCACACACCTTCACTAGAATCACCAGCTCTCAAATGTAGTGAACGGGGATGTAACAATAACCGAAATATCGTGATATCGTATCGTCAAAGTTCTGACAATAATATTGTGGACCGTCACAATACATCGAATTACAAGTCTCTTTGTTTAAATTAAAAGTTATGGTGCAGCAACAGCTAAAAAGGGCAGATGGAACTACATAGACCATTATCATTTGCTCCATTTCAGTGCAGACAACAAGAAGAAATAACAGTTCTGACACTTTTAAGTCTTTGGATTAAGTCTTGTCAAGGAATTTCAAGAGGAAAAAGTCATATATTGACAGTTTTAGCCTCCACAAAATATCGCAATAAATATCGTACTGTGAGATGTAGGGGTGTGCAAAAAATATAATAATTAAATTGACATATCGTATTGTTTAATGTGATGATACAGTATCGAAAGTGTATTTTTTGGTTTATTTTACTATTTTACTAAATTATTGTGTTACAGCTACAGTTTTGTTGCTTGTTTAGAGGAAGGAAATTCATTTATGCGACACATATGACATTTTCACTGTTTTGATGATTAAAATATTTGTGTTTCATATGAACTTGGCACAAGAAGTGGTTTAACAAAGACTTTTAGTGTCACAGACATGATTTAGCCTTTATTTTTTATTGCATCATATCGAATCAATTTGAAATATATCGTACCAAATAGTAAGCTCACTGTATCAAGACATGTATCGTATCGTGGCCTATGTACCGAGGTATGTACCGTATAGGCAACTTCTTAATTATACCCAGTCTAGTGAGATGTATTTGGGTCAGGTCAAGTGTTAACGGAGGGAAACAGGGTCAGATTTTTGACATTCAAACAGCTCTTACTCAGAAACTAGAGGAACTATTGAAATAAGTAAAGTATCAGAATGTAGGAAAGAGTTACACTCCAACAGGGTAAAGTTAAACCTGTGATATTCTTTCAAGTTGTTGACAGAAAATTTAAAAACTTGTGTCGGTAACGGAGGGAATGAAATATGCAGCACTTTTTGGGCAATAAATACAAACAGTGATAACTCTTGGTTCTCACTTACATATCCTTAACAAACTGGTTTGAATATTTGCTTCATATAGTTTTCTACCATATGGTACAAGATTAGGTTGAAAAACCTCTTACTTTTTGACTCATGAGATTTTTATTAAGAAAGGTCATGGTAACGGAGGGAAAAGTAACGGAGGGAAAATTGTACAAACAAGTAGAAGGTGCAGGATTTTACATCATTTGTCACTTTTTTCTTCTGAATACTTTAATATTACTTCAAAATGAAAGAAACTATTTCTATAAAATATGTCAGTCCTTCCAAGAACATTTTTATCATTTTAAATACTTTTTTTTTTTTTAATCCTGTCCCTTCATCAACAGTTCAAAGATGGAATAACACAAGATATGATGAAATACATCCATTTATTTACATGATTTGCAGGTCTTTGAAATTTGGGAAATAATTTTTGTTCCATGTTTCATACATGGTCTGTTTAAAATGTATGGAACTTTAGAACCAAAAATGGTCCAGAAAAAAGGTCAACAGTTTCATAAACTAGAGTACATATGTATCTGTTCAATAAATTTTTATATCAGATGAATTCACTTGAAGTTTTGTCCTTGCTGTTTACTTCTGTTTGATTGGGCCCATATCGTGAAAATATCGAACAGAGAGATTTGGATATTGTTACATTCCTAATCGTGAGCCTCCCCAACATATCATGAGCTTTTCCATGATATCGCAACAAATATCGTACCGTGAGGTTCAGACCGTGATGATATTGTATTGTTACTATCGTTAACACCTCACATCATACATTCTATTCAAAAAACACGTGAAGAACTGGTTAATAACTCACCAAACCTGCGATCATTAGTGTGCCGTCCTCCCGACCCGAGTGTGTGTCTCCTGTCTGTGTGCTCTAGTGTGTGTGTTATTTCTCAGTGTGTACCTCGTGGTCACGGTTGTTAGTGTCTGTTTGTATTCTCGCTGCCTTTTAATTCAACTGTTTTATTGTTGTCGTTATTTATTGTTGTATTTTTACGGTGACCACGTTTACCATCTGTCCAAAAACTACAGATGAAATATACAAAATTTACAGAAATGTTGATTACTGTACACTGTCCCTGCTAAATAAACCAAATAAATAAATAAGATGTATGGAGAGTTTTTTAGTTTTTAACCCACCTGTAATTGAATAAATGTAAAGTAGAGCTGTCATCTCATCTCCACAGAAACAAGCAGATGACGGACCCCCAACCAGAAAAGTTACACAATATACAATACACAATACACCTTTAAGTACAGTACTTTACTACTTGTACTTTGTTACCTCCCATCACTGATTAAAACATGAATCACAAATAGAATCAGGTAATACAGGAAGTGCTCTAGTGTGTTATTAAACTCCACACACCTTCACTAAAATCTTCTGGATAATTACGATCTCTACTCAACTAAAAGTAAAAGGAGCTGTTGACGTGACATCACAAGGTGGAACAGAGCATTTTGAGCTTTGGAGATGTAGACAGACTAAAAATAAAGTGTTACTCAAACATGTAAATGAAACAAAACACAACTCCAGATCTGTTTTTTCTGTTTTTTTTTTGTTTTGTTTTTTTTGCAGAGGGTTGCAAAAAAACAAACAAACAGAAGTTGCCAATACAGTACATACCTCGATACACAGGTCACAATACGATACATATCTCGATACAGTGAGCTTTTGATTCGATACGGTTCAATAAAAAAATAGGCTGTAATACTAAAAGAGTTTTTTAAAGTCTTTGTTAAATCACGTCTTGTTCAAAGTTTACATGAAACACAAAATTTTAATAATAATCAAAACAGTGAAAATGTCAAACGTGTCGCATAAACGAGTTTCCTTCCTCTAAACAAGCAACAAAACTGTAGCTGTAACAAAATAATTTAGTAAAATATTTTTAAAAAACTATCAATAACAGTATCGATACAGCAGCCCACGATATCGATACTGTATCATCACAAATGATACGATATAACAGGGCGTGCAAAAACATTGAAATATCACTATATCGTACCGTTTTATGTGATGATACAGTATCAATATCGTGGGCTGCTGTATCGATATATCGTCAAGAGTATTTTTTGGTGTATTTTACTAAATTATTTTGTTACACCTACAGTTTTGTTGTTTGTTTAGAGGAAAGAAACTCCTTTATGCGACAAATTTGACATTTTCAAAGTTTTGTTTGTGTTTCATATGAACTTTGCGCAAGAAGTGATTTAACAAACACTTTCAGTATCACAGACATGACTTAGCCTTTTTTTTTTTTATTAAACCGTATCAAATCGATTTGAAATATACCGTATTGAATCGAAAGTGCACTGTATTGAAAAGTGTATCGTATCGTGGCCTATGTATCGAGGTATGTATCGTATCAACAACTTTTTAGTGATGCAAAGCCCTAACCATCTATTGATGTTTTGATATTTTCGCACAACATTAATTATAACATGACTTAAAGCTCACGAGTCAATTTTTGCGTAATCTAGGACCCGGAAAAATACTTCTAAGTACTACTACTATAAAAAGAGCTAAAGGACAGTGAAAACTAAACTGTAGGATTTCCACAGGCTGCACATGTGCGCGCCCCGACAGCTGACAGACGGTGTCCAAACATAGCGCCGCTCGGATCTGGAGTGACATTCAACGCAACGCGCTGGTGTCCAAAGATCCAGCGCCTCCAAGGACTATTTTTAACTTTTAGTGCGCGTCTGGAAGCGGGGAAGGAACCACGGACATGCGGGGGGTAAACAGCGGGTCGGTTTAGGTCGAAGCACCGAGCTGGAGTCGCTCTCGCCGCGGCTCCGGGACGCGCTGTGCCCGCCGAGAAACGGAGCGGATCCCGGGCGGAGCGGGGCCGGGGCGGGGCGCAGACGGGGCCC